GAGACTTCTTGGGGCTCTCTTGGGCTGTCTTGGGCGGTCCTTGGACCTTCTCGGGTCCCTCTTGGGCCGTCTTGGGACTCCCTGGAGCCGCCTTGGGACCCCCTCCGGCGCCTCTTGGGCTGTCTTGGACGATGTGAAAACCGAAGAAGCGAATACTATAAAAATATACGCTTCCCGAAAAGAATGAAACGACGTTGGCCTTCTGAGGCCCGCTGGGGGAGCCTCTTGGAAGCCTCTTGGGGCGTCTGAGAGCCTTTTGGCCCTTCTACAAGCGAGCTTGGGGCGTCTTGGTGCGCTCTGGAGGCCCCCCCTCGGGGTGTCCTGGAAGCCTCATGGGCAATCTGGCAGCCATCTTGGGCGCTCTTAGGGCACTCTTACGATTCCATGCGAAGCAATGCAAAACAGTGAAAGGGATGGAGTCAGCACAATGGCAGTGCAATGCAACGCACAGCCATGGAAACCATATGCGAGCGCAATGCAGCGCAAAGTATTGCAAGCAAACGCTAGCAAAGCAAATGCAAAGCAACGCAACGCAGTACAAATCCGCCGACCCCTTGGGGGTTCATCGGCGTGTGAGATGCTTCCCCCTCCCCAAACCCCTACCCCGGGAGCCCGGTCTGGTCGATTTGGAAGTTGATTTGGAGGGGGTGGGAGTCCCCCCGGATCCAGTCGAAAGCGCCATTGGGGGACAGGAGGCCCCAAAACGAGCCAAGAGGGTCCCAAGAGGCCCCCTGGACGATCCAAGAGGGCCACGAGTCGCCGAATGATCGCTCCAAGACGCCTAAAATGGCCTCCGGATGACCCCAGAAGCCCCAAAGACGCCCCAAGAAGCCCCAAAGAGGCATCCCAGGAGGCCCTTAAGAAACAAAAATCGTCCAATCCTTTGGGGAACGTGTATTTCTAACAAATTCGCCTCTCGGGCTTTCACTACGTCCAAGACGGCCGAAGAAACCCCCAAGATCGCCCCACCACGGCCCAAGAGGCCCCCAAGATCGCCCCACCACGGCCCAAGCGGCCCCGAAGACGGCCCCAGACGCCCAAAGAGGACCCCAAGACGGCTCAAAAGGCCTCCAAGACAGCCTAAGAGGCGTCAGAGTTATGTCGGGCGTGTCCCCCTACAGGGGGATTTTCGAAACGAAAAACAGAAAATACACCAAAAAATACCCCAAAAAGGTCAAAAAATCATCCAAAAATAGTCCCCGGACTATTTTTGGACTATTGTTTGACTATTTTGGGGGTATCTCATATTTTTCGCCGAAAATCCCCCTGTAGGGGGACAGGCCCGACTTAACGTTAGAGGGGAGCCAGGCTCAGGGGGGGGGGGGAAACTGAAGGGGCCCTGGGACACACAAATGAATACACACGGATAAAATGATCCCCCGTATGTTCCCATATTTTCTGGGTCTTTGTCTTCCCCCCCACTTCCCATGTGTTCCCATATTCTCTGAGGAATCGCCGATGAATTGTGTCTGTGTGTGTTGTTTCCCCTCCTGAGAAACGTCGAGCTGCATCGGCGATGGCTCGGCGACGGGCCCCCGATGGCGAGTCCCCCCCCGCTCCCGGGCGGGGTGGGCTGCCGAACCCCCTCGGCAGTGCACGGGCGATGGAGGGGTCGGTGCGTCCCCCCGGGAGACCCCCCCCTGCTGGCCATCGCTCGGACGTCCATTCCCTGTTTTTTGTTTGGTTTTGTGCGTGGCTTTTTCGGCAGATGATCCAGGATGCTCCTCGATGCTCCTCGCCGGGGGAAAAACGCACAGGTCCGAGCGATGCCAGGCCCAGAGTTGCCCCCTGGCTTTCGGGTCGTCACTCGGCTCTCCGGCGGCCGTTCGGGACGGTCTGGTCACCCCTGGAGCGCTCTCAACGAGGCGCAGCTGCTGAAGAGCACCTGACACCCCCAGGATGGAAAGCACCGCGCACAGACGGCAAAACGTCCGAGGAAGAGAGCGACGAGGACGAACCTACCTGTCCCCCCTTGTCGTTGCCACTGGCCGATGCCCCACAACTTTGGACGCCCGAACTGGGTACGGAAAAAATGGGTACAATGCCCAACAACAAATGTTGTACCAAACCAACAGCGGCCGCTGTTGGGCAGGCGGCCTTCTGTCTCGAATGGACACAGGCCGCGGCGGCGTGGACAGCGAACCCTGTTCAGAATGAACAAGATCCGCTGTTGAGCATTGTACCCATTCTTTCCGTGCCCATTTCGTTCGTGCAGAACTAGGGGGCAAACAGACCTACCTCGCTTTTGACCACCCTCGCTTCCAAGAGATACCAAGCGATGCCAAACTACGGCCCGTACTGGTCAGGCCGCTTGACGAGGAGGCGCGTGACATGACTTGGTTTTGCCTGGAAGCGAAAGCGGGGCAGGTAATCCACGCTCTGCAGAACAACAGGCCGGCGCCAGACGATCCCCGACAGCATCGAGACCGCCGCCACGGTCCTCCCTTGTTCGGCGTCGCGCTGCGGCAGCCGAGGGTGCGCCGAGGCCCCGGGCCGCGGCGCCCCGTGGGTGGCTCCACGGGGCTGGCTGCTGCCAGTGGGAAAATCTCAGCTGCGGGCACCTCCCCCTGCCTCCTCCTGGCTCCATATCCCTCCTCCTCTGCCTCTTCTTCCTCCTCCTCCTCCTCCTCCTCCTCCTCCTCCTCCTCCTCCTCCTCCTCCTCCTCCTCCTCCTCCTACCCGTAGCCATCTTGGCTCAAGCCATCTTGGCTCAAGTTGCAATATGTGGAAACCTCGCCCCTCGAGAGGGGGGCAACAGCGCCGTCTTCTGTCCCCTGCTCCCGAGGCTGCCCCATACAGCCGCCAGCAAGAACCTGTTCGGCAACCATTACAATGCTTTCCCCGCACCGCGCATTCCTGCCGCCATGGGTCGCTCGTCTTACGCTTGCTGTCTTAAGCATGGCTTTCACGGCTGGGAATGGAGTGGCAAGCAGTGGTGTTCTTCATGTCGTTCCGCACTTTCTCCGGAGTCTGGCACCAAGAAGGAGTGGAACAAAACCAACGGCAGTTCATCAAGGGACATCCTCCTTCCGTCTAGGTCGAGCCCGCTCCAGCCCTCCCCAGCAGTCAGACACAGACGAGGCCCCTGATCCAGTGGCTCTGGCTCAGGCGCAGGTGACGTTCTGGCGCAAGTGGGTGGGAGTGGACAAGAAGAGTATCTTGACGCGCTCGAGCATCTAGAACAAACGAAGCTGCAAGCTCTTCGAGGCAAAAGCTTGGAGGATCAACAAACGCAATATCTCTCAGGCCAGATGAATTCCATCAAACGTGAGCTCGTCACCTACGCCAGCGAGCTCACAGACATGGAGGCGAATGTCGAGAAGCTGTCTGAAGAACACTGGCTCCAGTTGCACGACCAAGCCGAAGAAAGTGACGAGCCCCAATCTCTTCAAGCCCGGCGCGCAGCGGCGGTCTCGGCGGCAGCCCAGGAAGCCTCCGAGAACTCCGACGTCAGGGAGCTGCCGCACGCCGCCATCCGGTCCAGGATCCCCGAGGGCGGCGCCACCCCGCCCTGTCTCTCGGCCAAGGGGCCCAGGACGTCGGAGAGTTGCTCGCGGAGCGCACCGAGCAGCACAGTGCAGCGATGGGCAGGGCGGCCTCGCATCCGCGGGCCTCCCCGGGCGGCGGCACGAGAGGGGGCGACCGCGGCCCCGCCCGCGGGCAGGCTCGGCCCGGCGCCGCGGCCGGCGCCCCCCCCACGGCCGCCGCCGCGCGATGGCGCGGACGGTGACGATCGCACGGCAGCCGGGGCCCAGTCTGTCAACAGTGGCGAGGAGGGGACAGCCGAGGCCATGGGCCTCGATGGTGAGGACGTGCCGCACAATTCTGCGGGCCATCGGCGCGCAGCCGACAATCTCGAGGAGGCGGCCGACCCCACGTCCTCCAACGGCCTCGACGCTGACCGCGTCAGGAAGATCAGAGGCTCGCCGAGTGCCGCCACGGGTGCGGCCATGCAGTCCAAGACGCCGCCTCGTTAGCCAGATCGGGCTCGTCACGTTCAATAGCAGCTGTTGGCCTACTTTCAAGCAGCTCCTCAAGTCCAAGCATGCGCGTGACTGTTCCTCGATTTGTGTCCAGGAACACAACACAACCTCAGACATGGGGATGCCATTGCGCGGCAAGTTCAGCGGTGCCAGTCAGTGGGCTGGTTGGCGCACATCGCACCAGCAGCTCTCGACAGCAATCAGCTGATTGTCAGTGGAGTTGCGATTTTGATTCGGGCGCATTGCGACTACGGCGTTTCAAGCATGAGGTTTTTCAGTTCAGCTGATCGCAGCAGATTGACAGGTATTCTTGTGGAAGTCCCAGGCCTCCAGAGGTTTGGGCTCATGAGCGCCTACTTCAAAGCAGCTGGCGGTCCCGGGGAGGTCAACCTAGGCTTGCTGGCCGACATCGCTGTGCAGTAGGACCTGGAGAGGGCCCCCGTCATTGTCGCTGGCGATGTCGATCTCTCCCCGTCCAAGATCTAAGGCCTCGACTTCCTCCACGGGGCATCCCTCCAGCTGGTAGCCCGCGAGAGCCCCAACGCTTCGCGCCTGCAAAACCCGATCGGTCCGGGACGATGTGGGCCCGCCACCAGCCGTTCCAGCCCGAGCCGCTCTTCGACGGCCTCGGGCCACCACATGTCTGGGCCAACCTCCTCCACCCTGGGGGCACCCAAAGACACCGATGCTGCTTCTCCCCACGACCTCTCCCGCCGCGCGGCCAGGGCTCTCCGGGGCGAGGAGCAGGGTCGGTACATGTTCCTCCCCCGAGACGTACCGAGCCGCCAGGTGCCTGGGCACTCCCCCCCTCCCCCTCCTCCTCCTCCTCCTCCTCCCTCCTCCTCCTCCCCCTCCTCCTCCCTCCTCCTCCTCCTCCTCCTCCTCCCTCCTCCTCCTCCTCCTCCTCCTCCCCCTCCTCCTCCTCCTTCTCCTCCTCCTCCCCCTCCTCCTCCCCCTCCTCCTCCTCCTCCTCCTCCTCCTCTTCAACTCCCCATCCCCCCTGCGCAGGCGAGGGGCTCAGCCCGGGCCCCTGCTCCAGCAGGCGGCGAAGCCTTCGCGGGTCGACGGCGCCGACGCTCGTTGGCGCGGGTCGCCGTGGACGCCGCCGCCGCCGCCCGTCGTCGACGCCGTCGCCGCCGCCGTCACGGTGATGGTCGCGGTCGTCGTCGTGGCCGTGGTCGTGGTCGCCGTCGTCGTCGAAGGGGGGCGAGAAGAAAAGGGGACAGGGGGAGGAATGGGAACGGAGGGGGGAGCAGAAGCAGCGGGAGGGACGATCACGAGCAGGCTGATGAGGGGGTGAAGGGGGGGCAGCCCCCCAAGGAGTCGCAAGGTCTTGTTTGGGTGTGCGTATGCCGTCGCTCCGCTGGGCCTCCCAGAACACCACGAACGTGGCAACACTTGCGCAACTGGCAGACCCAAGGTAGCCGCGAGGTCTCGATTGGGTGTGCGCATGACGTCGCTCCGCTGGGCATCCCGGGATGCTACGAAGGTGGCGACAGTTGAGCAGTTGGTAGCCTTCAGCGAGTCTCGAGGTCTCGGTGGGGTGCGGATGACGTCGCTCCGCTGGGCCTCCAAGGACCCCACGAACGTGGCGACGGTTGCGCAGCTCGAAGCCCACAGGAAGCCGCGAGGGATCGTTCCGGCGTGCGGATGACGCGGACAGCACAGCCCACATCCACCCCCAACCAGGACCCCAGCTGCCGACCTGGTGATCCAGGGGATCCTCCAGGGCAGTTGGTTTCGTTTTGATACATGGTTTGGGGGGACCAGAAAAGACTCACCCCCAGCCATGACCCTGGATGACCAGGTCGGAATTGGGGGTGCTGGCTGGGGGTGGGGGTGGGTTGTCCTGTCCTCAGATGACGTCGCTCCGCTGGGCCACCCAGGATCCCACCAAGGTGACGAATCTTGCGCAGTTCGCGGTATCGAGGAAGTCGCGCAGTCTCGGTTGGGTGTGCGTAAGCCGTTGGTCCGCTGGGCCTCCCAGGACGCCACGAGAGCGGCAGTAGTTGTGCAGCTGGGAGCGCGTCAAGCAAGGATGGAGGAAAAGCAGGTGGGTGCACGGGAGATCTGAACAAGCAAGGGAGGAAGGAGGCGGAAGGTGTACCGCGCGAGCAGCGCTCAATGTAAAACGAGGGTCCACCCCCCAGAGGGCGGGTGGGGGAACCATGCGACGCCCGAGTCTCAGGGGAGGACGATGGCGAGGACGAGGACGACAACGGGGACGAGGACGCCAAACGACGACGACGCCGCCGACGACGCCGCCGACGACAACGACGACGACGACGCCGACGACGACGCCGACGCCGCCGACGACGACGACGACGATAACGACGACGACGACGACGACGACGATAGCGACGACGACGACGACGACGACGACGACGACGACGACGACGACGACGACGACGACGACGACGACTGCGGCGGGGGCGGCAGCGGCGGAGGCGGCCACGGCGGCGGCGGCGACGACCCCCTCCCGCTGGATGCACGGTGCCTGCGGCGCCGGTCGCGAGAGCCGTCTCGCGCCCGCCCGTGGAGGCCTGTGGAGAGGCCGGGGGCGACAAGAGGACTTGCACCGACAGGAGCTCGTCTTTCTCGGCGGCGGGCGAAGGGGGGGAAGCGAGGAGGAGGAGGCCTTCTCAGAAGGCGACAGGGGTTTCTCAGAGGCTCGCGCGCCTTCCGAGGGGTGTTCTGGGCCCTCGGGGAAGGCGTCTCCAAAAGCCGGGGCCTGCGAACCTTCCTGAGAAGGCCCGCGCCTTGTCGATTCCCCACCCGGCTCGCCGCCGATTTTCATTGTTCGCGAGAAAGCCGGTGGTGACCAGCCCAGCCACACCCTACTGGTCACCACAGGTCACCCCTCCCCCACTGGTCACGTCACGATTCCCCTCGGCGCCGTGTGGGAAAGCGCCATTCCCATGCATTCCCAGATGGCACTGGAAAGAATTGCCGCGTGAACGGCCCCCTCCGGGCGACCGCTGGTTTCGCCGACGGCTGGTTTCGCCCGGCTGGATTCGCCGCCCGGCGAAACCAACTCCGTCGGCGAAAACAGCTCCGTCGGCGAAACCAGCTCCGTCGGCGAAACCAGCTGCCGTCGGCGAAACCAACTGCCGACCCGACCCGCCCGCAAGGATCCGCCCGCCCGACCCGACCCGCCCGTTCAGGTTCGCGCGTGCTCGGTGGAGCGTGCCCCACATTTGAATGTTCCGCCCGCCCGACCCGACCCGCCCGTTAAGGTCCGCCCGCCCGACCCGACCCGCCCGTTTGGGTCCGCCCGCCCGACCCGACCCGACACGCCCGCTAGGGCCCACCCGCCCGACCCGAGGGGCCAGGCGCGATCCAATATCGATCCGATTCGGCACGATTCGCTTGCGATCCGATCCGTTTCCCATGCGATCCGAGTTGACGACTCGGTCCAACTCCGGCCTCCCTCCCTCCCTCCCTCTTCGCTCTTCGAGGAGGGCGGAGGGGGAGGAGGGGGAGGAGGAGGAGGAGGAGGAGGAGGAGGAGGAGGAGGAGGAGGAGGAGGAGGAGGAGGAGGAGAGAAGGGGGAGGAGGAGGAGGAGGAGGAGGAGGAGGAGGAGGAGGAGGAGGAGGAGGAAGAGGAGGAGGAGGAGGAAAAGGAGAAGGAGGAGGCGGAGGAGGGGGAGGAGGGGAAGGAGGAGGAGGAGGAGGAGGAGGAGGAGGAGGACGACGACGAGGGGGAGGAGGAGGAGGAGGAGGAGGAGGAGGAGGAGGTTGAGGAGGAGGAGGAGAAGGAGGAGGATGAGGTTAAGGAGGAGGGGAGGACGGAGGAGGAGGAGGAGGAGGAGGAGGACGAGGAGGAGGAGGAGGAGGCCCGCCTTGCGGCCGGAGCCGTGCCTCCTCCGCCACTCCTCCACCGCGGCGGCGAAGGCCACGCTCTCCGCGGCCTCCACGGCCGCGACGTGCGCCTTCCGCGGCGGGGCGGGGGGCCACTCGGCCGACCGCCGTCGGTCGCCGCCGCCGCCGCCCGCCGTGGTCGTACGCCCCCGGACCCCCTCGGGCAAAGGAGAAGAATCACGACGGGCGCTTTTGCCGCTGGAGACGATCGGTCCTCGCGGATCCATGCGGACGATCGGGCGCACAGGAGAGGGGGAGCCAGAAGAGCGGGAGGGGGACCCAGACCCCCTCGGGCAGAGAAACAGCAATCACGACGGGCCTTGCTCTTCGCTGCCTTCGGCCTCTGGGGGCCCCGACCGGGGCCCCCAGGGCTGCTAGAAGACGGCGCGGGACGAAGGACCGACCTCGGGGAAAGGGTCCCGACCTCTGGAGGGCCCACGCCGTGCAGACCTCATGGCGTCGGGGGCCTGGAGACGACGTCGCCTCGATAGCTTTTTGCTGGCGCTGCCGGGCGATCTCCGCCGCCGCCGCAGCGTGGCGCGCAGTGCTTGCAGGAACGGGCGGGAAACGGGCTCTAGGGGGCGTCTGGGGACCAACTCTGAAAGGATTCGAATCGGTCGCCGTCCTCGCCGCCGCCGCCGCCGTCTACGTCGTCGTCATCGTCGTCGTCGTCGTCGACGTCGATTGGAGGCTTGGAAATGGGCACCGACACCAACACAGGGGGGGTGCCTCCACAGGGGGGAAGGCGATCCTAGATTTGGGGGTCGGTGGCAATCCGTTGGCCACCTGACGAGCCCGAGTGTTACCACATCACCGAGATCGGGATCACCTGCCCCTCCAGGTCGAAGGACTGCAAATCGGGGGTCATTTTTGCAGCGCGGTTTGGCTCTCTGGATGCTTCCGGAAGACCACTCCCGTGCAGACCCATGCGAAAGGCCCTCGGGATGGCTCGGAAAACGCTCAAGAGGACTCCCCTCTGCGGCCTCGCGGGCCTCGGGCTCACTTCATCGATCCTCGCTTGGGGGTAAAAAAATGGTGCGGTGACCTCGACCTCACCACACGGTCCGTCCGTCACCGCACGGTCTGAGGACCTCGGAGGCCCCAGCCGCTCAAGACTTCCCCAAAGAACGGCCCAAGTCCCAGAACCGTGCGGCCACCCCGAATCCCCACGGGCTCACCACAAGACTCACACGATGTGGTCACCGCACCGGTTGAGGCCCCCAACTCGCTGGCTTCCCCCCCATATGCTCGCCCGAGGGTCATGAGAGATTGTGCCAGTCTGCGGGAGAATGGAAGCATGCCTGGACATCCGGCGTTGTGACTGTGTCCATCCGCGGGGCTAAGAGGTGCCGACCCCATTCCCGGGGGCGGATATTCAACCCAGGTCCACTTTGACAACCCCAGGGACCGAAAAGGCCGCCGAAGCCGAAAACTAGCCGGACGTCTGGAACCATGACCTGCCTGGGACAGCACACCCATACGTCTCTCCCCCGTGGCGGAGACGGCGGCGACGGTCGCGAGAGGCGGCGACGGCGGCGACGACAACGACGCCGACAGGCCAAAATCCGCTCAAAAACTCCCTGGACCCCTCCTGGAATCCACCATGGACAGATGTCGAAAGACGTCCAACCGTTGCGGCGAAGAGCTCCAGAAACGTCAGCACAAAATGCGGAAACGGAATCGTCGTCGTACCCAGGCATCCGATGTCATGATTTTTTCACTACGGGCCCCCAGAAGCCCGACCCTTGCCCCGAGGACGGTGCTCCCAAACATTGTTCTCAGAGACTTTTGTGGTTTCCACGAAATGTTCTTAGAACATTTCTGGTTGAGACTGCCTTGTCTTAACACATCGGGTTTAGTTTATGTTCTAAGAATATTGTTTTTGTTATTTGAACATTTCTGGGTTCTAAGAATATTTCGTGGTAGGGCTATAGGAATGCCGGGACGGTCGGTCCCTGTCCTCCCTCCTCCCCTACCCTCCCTCCTCCTCTGTGCCTGCCCGAGGCCCCCGAGGGCTGCCGGAGGCCGAAAACTGAGACAGACCTGCGCTGATGTTCAACGCGCTGCGTAGAGGCAGGAGAGCCCAGAGTCGAATCGAAAGTCGGACCGGCGATCGGAATGGATCGGATCGGCGGAAATCGGCAGCAGAGTCGGGAGGAGAATCGAATCGGCGGAGATCGGCAGAGCAACACGGCCTCGTGGAGGCATCGGCACCCAGATCGGAATCCGGAGTCGAATCGGAAGCGGACTCGGAAGCGGAAGTCATCGAAGTCGGATCGAATCGAATCGGAGGAATCGAGACGAGCCCGGAGTGCAAGGAGCGGCATCACAGAAGCTGGCGGAGGTCGCCGCGGTTCTCTCCGATCGACGCTACCTTTGTGAATGACATGACAATGGACACTCTAACAGTCCTATCAGTTATCTGAAAATGTGTTTAAAATGTGTAAAACACGTTCGAAACATGTTTCAAACCTGCGCTTGTCATGTTTAAAACATGTTTGAAACATGTTTCAGACATCTGGAAATCATTTGGCTGCATGCTTTCCTCTCCATTAATCGACTTCCACAACGCTACCTTTGCTGCCCTTCGCGCTCCACGAGCGTGCCGTCGCCCCGGCCGCACACGGCCGCGGGCGCGAGAGAAGGCGGCGGCGGCGACCAGCAGCAGGGAGGCGACGGGCCCGGTGGGCCTGGTTTTCCACCGCCACCACCACAAGTGGGAGGGGGAGGGGGTCCTCCTCCTCCTCCTCCTCCTCCTCCTCCTCCTCCTCCTCCTCCTCCTCCTCATCATCATCATCATCATCATCCTCCACCTCCTTCCCCCCTCCAACTTATGGTGGTGGTGGTGGAAAAAAGGCCCATCAGGGCCGACGGCAGCAAGGAGGCGCTGGTCCACCCTCCCTGGCGAGCGGAGCGCGCCATGGGCAGCACCAGAGGCGCCACAAGAGGGGTCCAGCGCGGAGCCAATAAACCCGCGCGGAGTCCGAGAAAATCTAGGCTAATGCATGCAGCTGTGATCCTTCGAGGGGACGTAGAGGTGGGGTGGGCCAAGAGGCGGGGGTGGAGGAGAATCGCCCTGGACGGCCCCCAGAGAAGGGAAACATCAGCCCAAACCTTGGTGCGCTCCCTGACCCCACCATGAGTTAGCGCGCCTCCGCGACTTCTTCGATTGGTGTATGGCAGAAGCTCCAGAGGCGATGGCGACGACGTGATGTGGATACGATGCCCAGCAACAAACGTTGCCTCAAACCGACAACGGCCGCTGTTAGGCAGGCGGCCTTCTGCCTCAAATGGACAACGACCGTGGCGACGCTGACAACGAACCCTGCTCAGAATGAATTGCACCCATTTTTTCCGTACCCACTTCGATCGTCCCAATCGATCGGGGCTCTACTGACCCGGGTCAATCCAAGCCCGGGCCAGCCAGGCTTTGTAAGATCCCGCAAGATCCTGCAGGACTCTGCAAGATCCTGCACGCTACCCCAACTCAATGCACCCCAGGCTCTGCAAGATCCTGCAAAATCCTGAACTCTGGCCGACCACCGCTTGCGTTGCCCCCCGTCTCTCGAGTCCCGAGTCTGGCCATCGCTCGGACGTCCACTGCCAACCTTGAAGTCTTATCACATGTGATGGCACAGCGACGTCGGAAGTTTCGCGGCGACTCAAGGAAGCGAACAAGATTGTCAAAGATCTAAGCAAGGCGTGGTCTCATGCCGCAGTGGGCCGTAAGAGGAAATATGACATATACAGAAGTTGTGCTCTGAGCAAGCTCCTGTATTCACTGGACACCGTTTGGCTGCTCGCAGCGGACAGGGCGCGCTTGGACGCGTTTCATTCTGGACAAGGCTGGGGCGACGCCTTTATCTGAGATCCTATTGGACAAGCAGGTGGCGCTATATCGCAAGATTGCAAACGGAAGCGATTCAAACATGGTCAAAACCATACTTTGCAATAGCGATGGTGCTCCTAAGCAATGGGCTGTGCGCAGAAAAAAAGGGAGGCCAAGGCAGCGCTGGGGAAGTGCAGTGTACCAAATGACTCAATATCGATAGTTTTACTGTTATCTTCATCCAGCTTCGTCGTCGTCATCGCAATGGCTTTGCGCTTGGCAGACTGAATCGCGGACGTGTTTGGCGTGCATATGTCTGTTCTCCTGGACAAGCGCGCGTTTTGCGTGACTTGCCCACGCGTCCACGCGGATGCACGGCTTAGTGGTGGTGGTGGTGGCGGGCATTTCTTTTGCAAGATGACCAAAGATGATCCTCGATGGTCCTCGCCGTGAAAATTTGGGAAACGAAGAGGTACCGATCCCGCCACTCCCCGGACCTCTCCCGGGGCGCGTCCTGACCAGAACTTCGAGGCGAATCCAGCGGTGGCGCCGAGGGCCTCCCAGGAGGCTCACAGGGCGAAAACGAGGGAAGGGTCGCGGTGTGGGTACCTTCTCCTCCCCTGAAGCATGGCACATGTCTTGAGCACGGACCGACCGTCCCGGCATTCCTATAGTCATACCACGAAATGTCCGTAGAACCCGAAAATGTTCTAAAAACAGCAACAAAGTTCTTAGAGCATACACCCGATGTGTTAAAACGAGACAGTCCCAGCCAGAAATGTTCTGAGGACATTTCGTGGGAGCCACAAAAGGTTCTTAGAACACTGCTTGGTAGGGCTACAGGCGAGCCAGGACGCCTCGCCACTGCTTGAATGTCCGAGCGATGCCAAGACCAATCGCCCGTCGCACGTCGTCGACCCGCGACGGCAGCGCCGGGCGACCGGGCGCCCGGCCGACCAGCGGCCGGGAGGTGGACACAACCCTGACCTTCCAGAGAGCTATTTTGTTAGCACTGGAGGCCTAAAAACCAAAAAGACGGAGCTAAACAGCCTAAAACCAAGACGTAGAATATCCTTGGGATCGGATTTTAAGTCGCATGCTATTGTTTAGCCCTCTTGGAAGGTCAGGGAAGGCTCCCCCCTCTCGCGCGGCGGGCCTCTGCCCGCGACGCCTCGTCCGTCTCCAGGGGGCACACGCGCGACTTCGGCGGGGGGCTCCGCATGTAGATCACCTGGGGCGACGTCGGGGCCCCCCGGCCCAAGAACGCGCTCCCCTTGTCCTGAGCAGGGACCGACCAGCCTGGCAACTCCTATAGGCCTGCCACGACATTCTCTTCGAACCCGAAAATGTTCTGCGAACAAATACAATAGCATCAGAACAGAATAGGCCCGATGTGTGAAACGAAAACAGTCCCAGCCAGAAATGTTCCAACGTTTCGCTGAAACCGCAAAAGGTTCATGTTTTGGTAGGCCTATAGGCGAGCCTGGACGCTTCGCCACTGCTTGACTGTCGGGGCGCATAGTTTACTTCCGCCGCCTTCTGCTGGCATTCCGCCGGCTTCCGCTAGCGAAAGCGGCCCCGTTGTACTTCCGCCGACATTCTGCCGACCTTCCGCCGCCCTTCCGCCGCCTTCCATAGCAGAAGAGATGACGACTCCTTCGATCCTGGAAGGCAACGCAATGTTTTCTCAGCGCCAAAATTCAGCCTGCAGACAGCCTAGCACCCTGACGCAGAAGGGACCGAATATCCCAACGAAGCATCGCGAGACGCCGTTCAGCATTCCGTAGCTTGTGCTCACTGTTTAGCGTATACAACTCACCCTGCAAAGACGCAAAGTCACTGTCAGGTCTATCTTGACCAGCACGAGAATTCAAACGGGTTCGTGCGTTATGTATGTGCATGGCTCTCTCGCACCCTGCTGCATCGAGGAGTTTCCAGCGAGACTGGTTTCCTTTCAACTCGGATAAACTATCGCGGATGCGTGCAAAATTGCTTCGATTGAGGGACATGGCCAAAATAGCCTGCTGTTTTTTTCCTGCGAGGCCCGAATTCAGCAATTGCTCCAACACTGCAAAAGATGACGCTGTTCTGCTCACGCAAAGTTGGTAGTGTCCACTCCTGTTCTGCACGAGGCTCGCATCGACACCTGGGAAGGTTCGTTCGATCAGCCTTTTAATACAAATTAATGGTTCCTCGTACTTCTGGGATACTTTCAAATGTACTTGCGTGTATGGCTTGATTTGGATACATCCCTCCGCGTCGAAAAATCCGGCAACATAACCCCAGCTGACATCATGACAAGGGCCAGGAGCTTCACGCTTCAGAGAACGCAAGGTGCTCGCAAGCCTACCACGGTGTAATGGACAAGTTGGCGCCTCAGAAACTAAAAGGTCAAGCTGTTCGCGCTTCACGACAGACGCTCTTCTGAGCAATGACGCAGCGCCCCTCGCTCTCTCGCCGCTTAGCTCCCATCTGAAACAACATTGGTGACTCCCTTTCACAGACGAACCCTTGTAGATACCACCACCAAACTGCTTCATAAACCTAACCAGCACTGCAACATTATTTTCAGCTTGATACATCTGCAGCGATCGATTGCCGAAGCTTCGACTGGAGGACACGCAACCATCTCCGTCGAAGAACCCTGCGAAATAATCTAAGACTGAGTTCTGAGCATGTTCGCTATCACCAGACGGGTCCTGAGCGCGGACGGGTAATGAATACACCTTTCCATCTACGACGAAGCTCTGACATGGTGGCCGAATCAGGCGCTTCCGAAATGACTCAAGACGCCGGCATCGACGTTCAATCACATCCCACGGGTAAGGTCCAACAGAAAAGTGTCTGCAGGAAGAACCTATTGCACGCCAATGCCGCCCTTCTAGCAATCGCAATGCGTGCAGATAGCCCCCACCAGACAACAACGCACGTCCAAACCCAGCGCGGATCACTGACATAAAAGCAGCCTGCCAAAGGCAATGGCGGCGATGCAAGAGAGAACCATCTGCTGATGAATTGCGAAAACGCACACGTTAAGATTCAACACGCATTCATATAGCAGCCCCTTGCAGCCTTGAACCAAGATGGCTTGAGCCAAAACGGCTACGGCGAAGACAAGGCAATATTTGGAATGCCTCACCTGTTGGAGGCGCCTCCCATACTGGGTTGGCCGCCGTGGGAGCCTCCTAGGAAATAATGGTGGGCATCTCGGGCCAGGGGCTGGTCTGGCAACATCCGAGCTACGGGGCACCCGAGGCAGGAGAAGAAGAGTGAGACCAGGGGAGGAGGAGATAGGGGACGAACCCAAAACGACACCCTGAAACCTGGCGGCGCTCACGAGGGGGTAGGAGGAGGAGGGAAGGCTTCTTAGAAGAAGGCTGCTTCGTAGAAGGCGCCAACCCTACATCGACAGACCAGGCCCGCGCCTTCTGAGAAGCAGGGGTGCTTCTACAGTCAAAACCCCTAATGAGGACGCGCGGCAAGGACGCAAGACCCTTGAAAGCCGAAGCTGGGATTTCTGAGGCGGCGGACGACGAAAACCACAAGGACGCAAGAGCAAGGACGAGCAAGGACGCAAGGGTACTCTGAGCAAAGTCGCGCGTCCTTATTAGGGTTTTTGACTGTAAGAAGCCTTTCCCCCTCCTCCACACCCACCTCTGCGCGTGGCCGAACCCGTGGAAAGCGGAGGGAGGCCAGGCCCCCTCGTCGGGGACGCACCCAGGTCAGCGCAGACCAGGGCCAGCCGGGCGTCGCAGGAGCCTGCAGGATCCTGCCAGATCCTGCACGCAGGCCCGGGCTATGGCACCCCTGGCCCTGCAGGACCCTGCAATAGAGGAACGAGTATTCACGGGCGAAGAACGATATAAAATAAACTGTTTCGCCGTCGGGGACACCTGCCCCAGCGCGGCTGGAAAGTTTATACCCTTACGGCGGCACCGTAAGGGTATAAACTTTCCAGCCGCCCAGGGGCAGGTGTCCCCGACGGCGAAAAAGTTATTCTATACCGTTCTTCGCTCGCTGAGAGTAATGACACAACATGAAAGAATAATGGCATGCCCTGAATGCTTGGAGATCCGCGCGGATTTCTCGGAACCGCGCTGGACCCCCCTCCCTGGCGCGCTCCGCGCGCCAGGAGCGGCTCCGGAGGCGCCGCCAGGGGGGTCCAGCGCGGAGCCGAGAAATCCGCGCGGACCACCGAGTTTTTCTGCTCCTGTCGTGCTTCGCTCCCCTGTTAAAGGATCTGGCGCTCCGGCGGACCCCCGCAGGCCCGGACCCCCGTCGCAAGGGACCCAATGTCGGGCTGTCCCTGAGCTGCCGTCGTCGCCCAGGTCCCCGACCGCGGGGCCTCCACAGGTCGATGCGGCTCGAAAAAGGGGCGCGGGGAGAGGAGGTCTGTGGGCTCCAGTCGTAGCTAAAGCTAAGCTAAAGCTAAGCTGAAGCTCAGCTGAAGCTAAGCTGAAGCTAAGCTGAAGCTAAAGCTGAAGCTAAAGCTAAAGCTAAAGCTAAAGCTAAAACTAAAGCTAAAGCTAAAGCCAAAGCTCCCAGGGGACTGGGGGAACCGCGGGGCGGATGCCGGGGGAACCGCCCGGGGCGGGGTCCACTGCCCGGCCCCTTTAAGATAGAGGGTAAGAACCCTCTAGGCAGAGCCTAGGTAGGGAATAAAAGGATTCCCCAGTTTCCCATATTTTCTGGGTTTCTGTCTTCCCGCCCACTTCCCATATTTTCCCATATTTTCTAGGAATCGACAATTAATTGTGTCTGTGTGTGTTTCCCCTCCTGAAACTCTCCTCGGGCACTGGCAGAAATCAGGACGGGCGATCTCGATGGCCATCGCCGGCCTCTGGGGGGGGCCTCCAGCTGGGCCGCAGGGCCGTGCCAAGCAGGAGACGGCCAAGGGGAGGAAAGCCCAGTCCTGCCGACGGAGCCCGCGACAAAAAAAAAAAGAAGGCGTGGCTTCGGAGGCCTGGTGATCGGGAGCAGGGCGATCGGGGGCGCCAACGAGGGGGGCCAGGAAGCGGTGGGGAGCGCCTCGTGGCCCGAGGCAAAAAAAAAAAAAGGCGTGGCTTCGGAGGCCTGGTGATCGGGGGCGGGGGGATCGGGGGCGCCCACGAGGGGGGCCAGGAGGAGGTGGGGAGCGCCTCGTGGCCCGCGGCACGTGCGCGGACGGGTGAGGGGCCGGGGATGCGTTGAAGGAAAGGGGGGGCCCACGGACTCCGGGAAGCAGAACATTCGGCCCGGGCAGTGCAGGACAGCCCGTTTGCCCCCCCCCCGGACCGCCCCGACGGGAGCAGGACGAGGAGATCCTGGGAGATCTTGATCCTCCTCCAGGTCCGTCGTCAGCTCCTCCTCCTCCGCCTCCTCCTCCTCCTCCTACTCCTCCTCCTCCTCCTTCTCCTCATCCTCCTCCTCCTCCTCCTTCGCCTCATCCGCGACCTACAGCAGTTATCCTCCCTCGCGGCACGCGCCTTCGGCGAGGGAGCTCCGCGCGCACCTCACCCGACAGGAGGAGATCCTGGAGCCCATGATGCTACGAAGCGGCCCCTGGGGCGACGAACCCCTGCCCCCCCCTTCGGGCGGGCCCCTGAGACCTCACGCCGCCGGAAGGCAACGCACTGAGCGCGGGCGAAGGCAACGACCGTGCCAGAGGGCTCCCGGAGGCCGAGGCACCCCCAGGAGCAGAGCGGCAGAGCCGACCCCCCACCGGCCCCCCCAGGGTCGTGCCGAGCGGGGCGGAAGACGAAAGCCCCACGAGAGACACAGCTGCGCCGGACACGGCTGCGCGGGCGGCGGGCCAGCTCTTCCCCCGGGACAGGGCCAGGCGCCGCTCCACGAGGAGGGGCACCGCGAGGAGGTCCACGCCGCAGCAGTCCGACCCGCCTGACGCTTGGCACGGCTGCGGCACCGCGAGCCACCGAAAGACCAGTGGCATCAGTACAGCCTGCGCCTGTAGCGGAGCGCCAGGAACATCACGGGGGCCACAAACGAGCGGCCCTGCATGGTGTCCTCGACCTCCCTCGCCTTGTCCACGGAGTCCGCCAAGCGCTCGCGCGTCGTGGTGAGCCTCGCCACGGCGAAGGGCTCAAGCGGTGCCTTGGATCGTCTGGGAGGCGGGCACTGGTCGCGCGGCGCGCGCCGCATCAGCAGCCAGCCACCCCTCGACGGCCACGCAATCGAAGGTCACCGAATGCTGTGCGATGGCGGACCCTCCAGCGCCTCCGGCTTCATCCGCCGCGCAGTGGGCCAAAATGCAACCGCCCTGTCTTGTGGCGGCGCGCACAATTGGGTGGCGCGAGGGGGGGGGGGGCGTCTGAGAAGGCGGCGCGCTTCTTGGAATGCAGGAGCCCTCTGAAAGGGTCCTAGAGGCATCCAAGAAGGCTTCTTAGAAGCCAGGAGGGTCTCTAAGAAGGCCCCCGAGGTCTCAGAAGTGTGCGCGCCGCCAAATGTCTAGCAGACATGCGCGATCCTGATCCGCCCGACTCGCACCGAGCGCGCACCATCAGCGAAAGCCTCCACGAGCAGCCTGTTGAGGAACAAGGGGGGGACCTGCAGGCACAAGCCTGTAGCGACCACGCTGGCCTGAGGTCGGCCACCGCCAGCACCCCAATCCGTGCGGGCATCGGCTCCAACAGCGTGGGAAGAGGGCGGAACCCAGACGCCTCCGCCACACACCACGTCGCCACGAACAAGCTGGTCGACAAGACCACCCCATGCTGAGGCAGCGGGAGCCCCGCGAGGATGGGCCAGCGCCCCGCGCGGCGCCGTGCCGAGCCACCACAGTTCGAGGCCGCGGTGGACATCGATCTCCTTGATCTCGCTGTGCAGGCCCCGATCATGTGGAGAGCCGCGCGCCCCTTGCGCCCGCGCGTACTGCGCCCGGCGCTCGGCAGTCGTCTGGTCCAGACGCCGCCCGAGACCGCGCCGAGGCGCCAGGTCCATCCCGGCGCAGACGGGCGCAGGCCCGCACATCATCTGAAGAGCACGAGGGGGAGAGAAAGAGACAGAGAGCGGGGATCCTCTGACCCGGGTCAATCCAGACTCCAGACCCGGGTCAGTCAGGCCTTGCAAGATCCTGCAAGATTCTCAAGATCCTGCACCCAGACCCGGGCCGATGCGAAAGATCCTGCAGGTTCCTGCAGGATCCGGCACCCAAACCCGGGTCAATGCGAGCGTGGCCCTGCAGGATCCTGCAAGACCGGGCGCTCTGGCTGACCCCCGTTTGCATTTACCCCCGTCTCAAGGCTCCCGAAGAGAGAGAGGGAGAACGCGCCGGTGTCCTCCAAGGTCGGAGCCTGTAGGCCAGCGCAGATGGTCCGAACCCTCAGGGATTGTGGAGGCGCAAAGAACTCCCTGACACCCGGGCGCCACAATGTTTCACGCCGGGCGTTGTACACAGTGGTTTGTTTTTACAAACTCGATATACATATATCAAAAACGCGTTTGCCCAAAAAGCGACTGCGTGCCCGTCGCGACGGCGGCGGCCCTCAAAACCGAGGAGGGAAACGTTCGGTATCCTATGGGGCCTCCTCCAGAGACCTCCGGAACCCTCCTGGGACCTCGTCACATCTGGTGTTCCGCCCCCTGTTTCCTTCCTCCCTCCTCCTCCTCCCCCTGCTACTCCTGCTCCTCCTGTTCCTCCTCCTCCTCCTCCTCCTCCTTCTTCTCCTCCTCATCATCATCATGATCATCACCCTCAGCACCATCATCGCCATCATATTCACCCGTCCTCGTCCTCGTCCATGTCCCCCTTCTGATACACCCCACCTCCTTCTCCTGCATGTCCAGCCATACCCCCCTTTTATTATCATCACCATCACCATCATCATCACCACAACCACCATCAGCATCATCATAATAATCATCATCAGCAGCAGCAACAACATCATCGCCATCAGCATCATCAGCATCCGCTTCACCATTCCCACCATCAGCATCATCATCATCATCATCATCATCAGCATCATCATCATCATCATCATCATCATCCACTTCCTCACCACCATCATCAGCAGCATCATCATGTCCCCGACGGCCGAACCAAGACAAAGGAGATCATCATCGATGACGTATTGCAAAGATTCCGCTCGTCGCAGGAGGCCTGAAACTCCTAACGGTACGCGGTGCGCGTGCCAGCCATGGTGCTTCCTTCACAAAGCAGGCGGTTCGATCATGAAAGCTGCATTGTGCCAGCAAGGCGGGCGACGGTTTGATCATGACAACAAACCTGCTGCGGCCGCCTCGTCGGAGTCAGAACTAACTAGGTCCGTGGGCCGCGGACATGGGCGCACAGTGCCCCTGTCTGCACCCGGGTGAGCGGGAGCTGTCAGCTGGCCCGGCATCATGCCTAGGTTTACGACTCGCACTGCTGGATGGACAAGCTTGTGATGTGGCTGGCGCTCAGTATTAAGAGCCCTCCTGGTATGGTATCCAGCCAGTGGCCCATTTCGTCCTCGAGCCAGCCCTTTGGAGCCACCCCCGCACTGCGATGTCCTCGTTCTCAAGGGCCCTATGGATGAACCCGTGCCCCTCACGATGGCCTTCATTCTCTGCGCGCCGTAGCAGTTCTTGAGCCTGATGAAACTGGTCTCTAGTTCGAGGTCGCCCTTGTCCACTTCTGGTTCGGTGGGCTCGCCATCGGGCTGGCACTTGTCGAAGTATGCTTGCAGTTCGCGCTTGGCTGCGCCCACGATGTCGCACAGCATCAAGCCTTCCAGGGCCGCGAGGCCCATGCTCAACGCGGGAGATCGATCTCCTGCATACTGTATTTTCCCATGGCCCCCTGGGCGCGCAGCGTGTCGAGCGTCGCTGTGTAGCCCTCCAGCTCTGCGCTGATCTTCGCGAAGGTGGGGGTGCACGGCGGGCAGACTGCACGCGCCGATGGATACTGGCGTGGCCATGCGTCCCCTGTGCGCCGTCTGGAGGACCAGCTCCCGTACTGACTGGAGTAACGCCATCAAGTTATTTGTCTTGCTGCTCCACGCCTTGGCTGGATGCTCTCCTCTGCGTGTCCGTCGTCCTCCTCGTCGTTGTGGCTTGGCCTTCTTGCGTTCGCGCACCTCGCCCTCGACGCCGCCCATCTCCTCGTCCTGAGGCTGGTCGTGCCGGTGGGCTGGCGGCCTCGGAAGCCTGGCCTTGGCTAGCGGCCAAGTTACCTCCACGCGGCGCTGCGCCGAGCTTGGCCCAGACCCTTGCGAGTCCTGGGAGGAACCCACGTGGGGGCGCCACTGTGTTCTATTCGGGCCTCCTGGCGGCTTGGCAACCACTGGCTTGGTCTGCGCATCCTTCTCCACTGCCGCAGCTGCCGCCGCCATCTTCACGTCGAGGGAGTACTGGCAGTGTTGGCGTCGCCGCCGCCAGCAGGATACTGGCAGGCTCTGGCCGTAGCGGTTCTGCTTGTGCTGGCGGGCGTGTCGAACTGGTCGAAATCGTCGTGGCCGTGGCGGGCGCAGCTCGGGTGCCGTGCGGAGCCTGTTGGTCGCTCGTCGGAGCGCTCTTCGAGCGCCACGGATGTCCTCTATGGCTCGCTGGTGTCGTACTGCTGGTGGCGCAGGTATTAAAACTCCTCCAGGCACTGCGCCGCGATCTGGGCCTCTTCTGCGCTGAACCTGTTCGGGCAAGAAGCCCGATGGCGACGGGGGAAGGTGAGTGAGGAAATGTTGAGATGCTGCCGCAGTTTAGCAGGGTCATGATATTCATACAGGCTTGCGATGTACACTTGATAGTGTGCTGCTGGTGATGGTGTTAGTATATATACATAATGTACCAGTTCCGCATTGCACGTGTAATACTGCCAAGACGCAGTCGGTGTCGTCGCGAATGTTCAGTATTTGGGGATGTAGTCTCACATGTTATGCACTTGTTGTCGAGCTGTAGCGCAATAAGCAGATGTGGCTGTATTTCTTATCTGATGTGTAACAAACGGTTCAATAATGTTGAAACGCTGGCCACACCCAGGGGGGCTGGCATCGGAAGGGCTTTAGGTACTCTTCATACCTGTGGGTCTCCGCAAGCATTGTTTTGGATGGGAGGGCCTCTCAGATCTCGTTGGACTAGGGAGGGGCCCAGAGGTTCATCCAGAAGCTGGCGCGTAGCGCCCGGATATTACATGTGACAAGCTTCTCGGATCTGCTCGTCGCCCAACAGCTGTGTTACGGTCAGCGGGCACCACGACTCGCACAGAGTCTCGCCCACGGGGTGCGATAAGAGGCACCCGCGATCGGCAGGAAGCCGGCGTGCCCAGGGTTGAGAGAGCATGTCAATCTCGCCCTGCTCGTTGAAGGTGGAGGCTGGAACGGGACGGTTGTGTTTGGCCGCCTGCCGCTCGGAGGCGCACCCGCAGAAAAAAAAACACTAAACAAACTGGCCATGGCTGGCGCTGCTGCTGGCAATTCTCTGCCACCAGCCTAAGTCGTCGAACGAGCAGTTCGATTGCAGACGGAGCGACCTGCCACGTCCGGAATCTTCCTGATGGGCAGCTTCCTTGAGAATGTCTCGAAGTTCCTTAGCCGGCGTGCAGTCTAAACGATGTGCCTCTCGCGATCGGAGTACGTAGCTTTCAAGGCCAGACCATTTCCTGCCAGCGACGTTAGATAGGAACGAGGGTCTCGTGTGCGTCCAGGGCAAATTGGAAAACCAATGGTCGCCCAATCGAGTCCAGCCGACTGTCCCAAATGTAATCGTATTTTCGCGGTGTTAATGGATTGCATCATGTATCTCCCGAGATATGGCCATCACCATCATCATCAGCAGCATCAGCAGTCATCAGCAGCATCATCATCATCATCATCATCAGTATCATCATCAGCATCCTGATCATCTTCGTCATCTTTGTCGTCGGCGGCATAATCATCCTCATCATCACTATCAACATCATCATCACGACTGCCACTACCATCATCACTATCCTCGATACGATCCTCGAATTACAGCCTTGCCCGTGTCATCAACCTCAACATCACACCTCCCTTCGTCCCCTTCAGAACCATGGATCGCCATATACATCATCTGCCAAGACCCTCTGATCCTTCCCTTCCCACGATGATCTACCTCCTGCCGCCACAGACCTCATCCCTATCCTCCCCCTTCAATTTCGTTCATAGTAATGCAGGCAAACCTTGGCACGTTCGAAATGGACACGAGGAAAATGACACCATGCCCGACAATAAGCGCTGACCAAGACAGGCAGCGACCGCTGTCGAGCAGGCGATGTTCTTTGGAACTGGACAGCGTCCGCGTCGACGCCGAAAGCGAAACCTGTTCAGAGATGGGCAAGAACTGCTGCCGGCAGTACTCGCACCGTGTTTGTGTACCCATTGCGCCTCCCATCTCCCAACAAAGAAAACGTCCTCCTCCTTCCTGCATCTTGTCCTCCTCCTTCTCCCCCTCCTCCCCCTCATCCTCCTCCTCGCCTCCTTCTCCTCGATTTCACGATTTCACGCAATAGGTGCGAGTTGAGCAAGCTTAGCCTAAACCCAAGAGAAAAGTTATAGATGCCGCGCTACTTGTCCTCCTCCACTTCCCCATCCTCCTCCTCCTCCTCCTGCCCCTCCTCCTCCTGCTCCTCCTCCTCCTCCTCCTTCTCCTCCTCCTCCTTCATGAACCGGCCCCACCGCTGAGCCGTCCCTGGCTGGGCCCGCGTCGAACGAGTCGTCCCCAACGACCTCTAGCAGGGCGGCGCGCGGCCGGGGCAAGGCCGGCGCGGGAGGGGGGCGTCCCCTTCCTCCTCCTCCTCCTCCTCCTCCCTCCACCTCCTCCTCCTCCTCCTCTCCTCCGTCTCCTCTGCCTCCTCCTCCTCCTCCTCCTCCTCCTCCTCCTCCTCCTCCTCCTCCTCCTCCTCTGCCTCCTCCTCTGCCTCCTCCTCCTCCTTCTCCTCCCCAACCTCCTCCTCCTCCTCGTCCTCCTCCCCATCTACTACTCTCGTCTCTCCCCCCGAGACGTGTTTGTGTTGATCCAATCTGGACGCCCTCCGCCCTTCCAACATACGATGCTCTCGCTGCAGCGCGGGCCTCAGTCTAGGATCTGCGCTTTGCCCCCGTCGCTCCTGACGGCGCTCTCGCCCCAGCGCGGGCCACGCGTCTGGATTCAAATGTTTCCTCGTCGCTGTCGCCCCCTTCCTTTCCCCTCCCCCACCTTCCCCTGGACAGCCTGCTCCTCCCGCTCCTCCTGCCCCCTGTGCTGCTGCTGCAGTTCCTTCTCGTCATCCTTACTCATCCGTCCCTCCTCCTCCTGCCCATCCCCCTGCTCATCCTCTACATCCTCCTCCTCCTCCTCCTCCTCCTCCTCCTCCTCCTCCTCCTCCTCCTCCTCCTCCTCCTCCTCATTATCCTCCTCCCCATTATCCTCCTCCTCATCCCCCAACTTACACAGCTCCCCTTTTTTCACACTGCACGTAACACGGTAGGGACCTTCTGGGTGTTCCAGGTTCGCTCTGACACCCGTTAGCGGATAGAGAAACAATCAGCGCGATGGGAAGGGATGCGTGGCAGGGGTAAGCAGTCAGATGTGGCGCGAGCGTGCCTGGTTTGTCCCCAGCCTCCTCCCCATCATCCCCCCGCATTCCTCCTCCCCCTCCTCCTCCCCCTCCTCCTCCCCCATGCCCTACTCATCCTGCTCTTCCTCCCCCTCCCTCCCCTCGTCCTCCACCACCTCCTCCTCACCCACCTCCTCCCCAGTGTCCTCCTCCTCCTTCTCCTCCTCCTTCTCTTTTGTTTTCTCTCTCTCCCCCCGCCCCCCCCCCCCCAAAAAAAAATACCCTGGCGACGTACCCAACCCCTGCGCAATGCGGCGCATGAGTAGCTTCGGAGACGGTATACGGAGGTGATGACGTGACGTGGGCGCATATACTTCTGCGAGCGGCATTCGTGAGGCTCGCAGCCCCCCAAGGACGGCGAGGTCCCGCTCAGATCTGCGCGGTGCCTCACTCAGCAGGACCCACCAGCAGCCCTCGAAAGTGGCGACGGTTTCGCAGATCGCCGCCCCCCAAGGACGGCGAGGCACCGCTCAGATCTGCGCGGTGCCTCACTCCGCTGGACCCACCAGCAGCACTCGAAAGTGGCAACAGCTCCGCAAATCGCAGCCCCCAAGACACGGCGAGGTCCCGCTCAGATCTGCGCGGTGCCTCACTCCGCAGGGCCCACCAGCAGCCCTCGAAAGTGGCGACAGCTTCGCAGATCGCAGCCCCCCAGGGACAGCAAGGTCCCGCCCAGATCTGCGCGGTGCCTCACCCCGCTGGACCCACCAGCAGCCCTCGAAAGTGGCGACAGTTTCGCAGATCGCAGCCCCCCAAGGACGGCGAGGTCCAGATCTGCGCAATGCCTCACCCCGCTGGACCCGCCAGCAGCCGTCGAAAGTGGCGACATTTCCGCAGATCGCTATGCTGGCCCCCAAAAAAGTCTCGAAAGGTGCGACGGTTTCGCAGATCGCAGCCCCCCAAGGACGGCGAGGTCCCGTTCAGATCTGCGCGGTGCCCCACTCCGCAGGACCCACCAGCAGCCCTCGAAAGTGGCGACGGTTTCGCAGATCGCAGCCCCCCAGGCACGGCGAAGTCCCGCTCAGATCTGCGCGGTGCCTCACTCCGCTGGACCATCCAGCAGCCCTCGAAAGTGACGACAGTCTCGCAGATCGCAGCCCCCCAGGGACGGCGAGGTCCCGCTCAGATCTGCGCGGTGCCTCACTCAGCAGGACCCACCAGCAGCCCTCGCAAATGGCGACAGTTTCGCAGACCGCAGCCCCCCAGGGACGGCGAGGTCCCGGTCAGATCGGCGCGGTGCCTCACTCCGCTGGACCCACCAGCAGCACTCGAAAGTGGCAACAATTCCGCAAATCGCACCCCCCCAGGGACGGCGAGGTCCCGCTCAGATCTGCGCTGTGCCTCGCCCCGCAGGGCCCACCAGCAGCCCTCGAAAATGGCGACAGCTTCGCAGATCGCAGCCCCCCAAGGACGGCGAGGTCCCGCTCAGATCTGCGCGGTGCCTCACTCCGCTGGACCCACCAGCAGCCCTCGAACGTGGCGACAGCTTCGCAGATCGCAGCCCCCAAGGGACGGCGAGGTCCCGCTCAGATCTGCGCGGTGCCTCACCCCGCAGAACACACCCGCAAACCTCGAAAATGGCGACGGTTTCGCAGACCGCAACCCCCAGGCAAGACGAGGTCCCGCTCAGATCTGCGCAATGCCTCACCCCGCAGGACCCACCAGCACCCCCCGAAAGTGGCGACAGTTTCGCAGATCGCAGCCCCCCAGCCACGGCGAGGTCCCGCTCAGATCTGCGCGGTGTCTCACTCAGCAGGACCCACCAGAAGCCCTCGACAGTGGCGACAGTTTCGCAGATCGCAGCCCCCCAGGCACGACGAGGTCCCGCTCAGATCAGCGCGGTGCCTCACTCAGCAGGACCCACCAGCAGCCCTCGAAAATGGCAACAGTTTCGCAGACCGCAGCCCCCCAAGGACGGCGAAGTCCCGCTCAGATCTGCGCGGTGTCTCACTCAGCAGGACCCACCAGAAGCCCTCGAAAGTGGCGACAGTTTCGCAGATCGCAGAACGCAGCCCCCCAATGACGGCGAGGTCCCGTTCAGATCTGCCTGGTGCCTCGCTCTGCTGAACCCACCAGCAGCCCTCGAAAGTGGCGACGGTTTCGCAGATCGCAGCCCCCCAAGGACGGCGAGGCACCGCTCAGATCTGCGCGGTGCCTCCCCCCACAGGACCCGCCAGCAGCCCTCGAAAGTGGGGGCAGCTTCACAGATCGCAGCCCCCCAGGGACGGCGAGGTCCCGCTCAAATCCGCGCGGTGCCCCACCCCGCAGGACCCACCAGCAGCCCTCGAAAGAGGCGACAATTTCGCAGATCGCAGCCCCCCAAGGACGGGGAGGTCCCGCTCAGATCCGCGCGGTGCCTCACTCCGCAGGACCCACCAGCAGCCCTCGAAAGAGGCGACAGTTTCGCAGATCGCAGCTCCCCAGGGGGGGGGAGGTCCCGCTCAGATCCGCGCGGCGCCTCACTCCGCAGGACCCACCAGCAGCCCCCGAAAGTGGCAACAGTTTTGCAGATCGCAGCCCCCCAGGGACGACGAGGTCCCGCTCAGATCCGCGCGGTGCCTCACCCCGCAGGACCCACCAGCAGCCCTCGAAAGTGGCGACAGTTTCGCAGATCGTAGCCCGCATCGTCGGCGAAAAGAGGGCAGGAGGAGGCGGGAGGCGGGAGCAGGGACGCGACCACAGTGCTCTATTCAAAACGAGTACCCAACCAAGGAGGGTTGGGGAAAAAAACAAAAACAACGGAACAGTTTTTTCTTGGGGAGTCGGCGGTGGAAAAAAAAGCGACGTGGCCTCATCTGCCCTCGCCCCTATGAGGATTCCTGTTGAACGCCCCCACAAGGAGGATTCATAATGAAATCCTCTACAGAAGGATTCCTATCGAAACTCTCCACTGCATGATTCCTACTGAAATCCTCCACAGATGGATTCCTATTGAAATCACCCGCAGAAGGATTGATAGTGAGACGCTTCGAAAGAAAGAACCTCACGTTGGTATTGCATTGGCATTGGTTTGGCAATGGTTTGGCATCGCGTTGGCATTGCGTTGGCATTGCGCTTGGCAGTGCGTTGCTAGCGCGCTTGCATTTCGCAAGCATTGCGCTGGCGAGTCCGAATGGAACCCTCCACAAAAGGACTCCGATCGAAAACTTCTACAAGAAGAGCTGCTATTGAAACCCTCCACAAAAACGGTTCATATTGACGCCCTCGACAGAAGGATTCCATGCGAAACCCTCCACAGAAGGATTCCTAGTGAGATCTACCACAAAGGATTTCCCCCATTGGCAGTGCATTGGCATTGGGTTGGGATCAATTTGGCATTGGTGTGGTATTGCATTGGCAATGCGTTGGTATTGCGCTGGCATTGCGCTGGTGAGTTCCAACACCTCCCTTCGCAGAATGATCCCTGTTGAACCACCACAAGAAGGATTCCGATTGAAGCATCCCACAAGAGAGGCTCACATTGAACTCCCTCACGGAAGGATTCCATCCGAAGCCATCCATAAAAGGATTCTTCTTGAACTCAACTACAAACGATTTCCCCCGTTGGCATTGCATCGGCATTGAATTGGGATCGCTGTGGCATTGGTTTAGCATTGCGCTGGTATTGCGTTGGCATTGCGCTGGCGAGTTCTAATGGCTCCCCCCACAGAAGGATTCCTATAAAAACCGTGCACCAGGAGGGATCCTCTTGAAAGCCCCACATGAAGGATTCAAAGTGACACCCCCAACGAAAGATTCCAATCGAGCGCCTCGAGCCACTTGGCGTACCTCACGAAGAAAGCGCCGCCGACCTGCTCCGCGATGTCCCCCGCCTCCTGCGGGGCGGCACCGGCGCACACTTGGCGGCGCGCACAGGGGGGTGGAGGGAGGGGGGAGGGTTTCTCAGAAGGGGGCTGCTCTTTCTCAGAAGGCGCCATTCGCACATCTGTAGGCAGGGCCCGCGCCCTCTGAGAAGCAGGGGTGTTTCTAAGAAGCCCTCCCCCCTCCCCCCACCCCCCTCTTCAAACAGGGCTAGGATCGGGATGAATCGCTCCAGGGCGTTCTGGAGCGCTCTCAGAGCGTTCCGGAACGCTCTGGAGCGGCCGCGGCGCCCAATACATCCTCCAGACCCGCCGATTCTCAGAGATTTCGAGTTATCCCGATCCGATCTTGTGCCGATCTTCGCGTCGTTTTACCGTACCCCCCCCTGTCCCAATCCCCCCCTTCGTCAGGCCCGAGCCACCGCCAGCAGCGCAGCGAGCCCAAGGGGGGGGGTCCTCCAACAGTGGTGCCGCCGCCCCCTGCTCCCGCTCGAGGGCATCCCCCGCGCCCGCCTCGGGGAGGCCTCGTGGCCCGCCTCTTCGCCGGCTGCACGCTTGCTCGACCCAGTTGAAGGGGCCCCAGGACACACACACACACACATAAACACACACACAAATAAAATGGTTCCCCATATGTTCCCATACTTTCTGGGTTTCTGTCTTCCCCCCCACTTCCCATAGTCTCCCATATTTTCTAGGGGAGGATTTTTTGTGTCTGTGTGTTTCTTTTCCACCTGACTCTTCGCTGGCTGCACGTTTGCTCGACCCAGCTCGCTGAGGAGCGCCCCTCCGCGGACCGCCTCTTCGTGAACGGCCCCTCCGCGGCCTGCCTCTTCGTGGACCGCCGCTTCCACGGGCATCGACCTCGGCCACGTCTTCGCTCCGTTGGCTCTCGTGGTCCTTCGCTGTGTCCTCGAGCTGCCCCTGCTGCAAAACCACATCGAAACGAAAACGGCCCAGGAGATCGCCCAAACACCGCTTATGACGACCTGCCAGACCACCCCAACCCAACCCGAAGACCCGAATTTCGGGTTGGGGGGGGAAAGGGTTCCACATGTGTTTTTGTCCATGCGTCCCGACCCCCCCCCCCACTGGAAATCGAGGGTTAATCTGAGCCTTCGGGTTGGGTTGGGGTGGTTTGGTGGGTGGTGAGCTTAGGTCGACCCCTGCTCTTCGCTCCGCTGTTATGTTGCATCCTCGGGGGACCTTGTCTGTCCAGTCGCGGCCCTGTCCGCGTCGAATCCGTGTCGAATCCATGTCGGACGCGTCGGATCCGTGCCGAATCCGTGTCGAATCCGCGTCGAATCCACGCCAAATCCGCATCGAGCACGCGTCGGGCCCCCAAAAAGACACAATTTTTTGGGGACAGGCGAGGTCCTCCGCAGATGCCACAGAACCGCTGCCAGCGCCCGCGAGCGGTGCCCCTCGGCCCGCCGCCCGGCGGCCCAGCTGGAGCGCACGGCAGCCGCGGGCCGCGGCGACCACACGGCACCCGCTGGCACCGCGCGGCGCACGGTGCGCTGAAGGGCAGAATCGAAGGGGCCCTGAGACACACAAATGAATACGCACAAATCACAGGATTCCCAATATTTTCCCATATCGCTTCCCATGTGTTCCCACATTTTCAGGGGAATCGACGGTTAAGTGTGTCTGTGTGATTCTTTCCCTCCTGAAGAATGGCACGGCGAGGGGCCCCCGCTCGCGAGTCCAAGCGCTCCTGTGCGGGGTGGCCTATCGGGCGCCTATCCGCGGTGAGTGGGCGATTCGGTGCCGATGCATGCCTCCGAGCCCAAACCTGCCGAACGCTGCCCCGGAGCACATGCCGCCGCTTAGGAGGACAAGCAACAAAACACCCTGTCCAGAAACTGTCGGAGGTCCGCGCGGACTTCCAAGGGTTAGCCAAAACAGTGCTTGCACTGTGGGATTGCCTCCTTTCTGAGGACACGAGCAGAAACTGTCGGAGGACCGCGCGGGCTTCCTGAATCGGCGCTGAACCCCTTCGCGGTGCCTCCGGCGCCGCCCCAGGAGCACTATGCCCGCCAGGGAGGGGAGGTCCAAGCCGATCAAAGAAATTCAACGCGGACCTCCGATAGTCTGTTTCACGGCATTGCGACGAATCCCATGCACCAGGCGTTGTATATAAACTCGAAGGGCCTACCGGCCAGACCCGCATCTGTACACAGTGGAGCAGTAATTTGACAATCAAGCCTCCGACAGTTTATGCTTATGCATGCTTGTTATTAATCTTCTAACCTCCTCCTCCTCCTCCTCCTCCTCCTCCTCCTCATCCTCCTCTTCCTCCTCCTCGTCCTCCTCCTACTTCCCTCCTCCTCCTCCTCCTCCTCCTCCTCCTCTTCCTCCTCCTCATCCTCTCCACGCGCGCCAGCGCATGCATCGTCGTGCAAGCGGGCGAACCAACTCATGGGGCATCCATGGGAGGATCCACCTTGAGTATCCGAAAGAGGGGGAGTCTAGATGTGCCCCCAAACGAGGTGTCTACCTCCAGGACACAGCCAGGCGGCAAAGCAGGCAGTCCTGCACTCACTGCGCACGCACGCTCGTTCGTGTAGTTGGTGCACACCACGTCGTCCCCGCATCCATCCATCCCCTCTCTTGTTTCTCTCCCCTGGTCTTCTCTTGCCTTACTTTCCGCATGCACGCTCGATCGAGGAGTGGGTGTACCCCACGTTCTACTCTTTGCCTCCCGCGTTGATCCAGTGCCCGTGCCACCATGCACCTCCCATCCTGCCAGCCTCTGGAGCATCGTGTCTGGTCCCCCTTTATCTTGCCTCTGGACTCGTCTGGCGCTTCCCCGTCCGCCCATCCAGCCCTCCTTCCCCTTCTCCTCTGTATCCACACATGCTTCATTCTTCTAGGGAACACACCAGGGTAGGGGGGAGCCATTAACTAAGTCGCACACGGGCTTTCAACACAATGCGATGCAACACACTGGAAGCAAAAATGCCCGGTGCTTATGAGGACACCTGTTCTGCTGTCGCTCACTCACATGTGTCAGTCTCGACTCTCGATTTCACTGCTTTGGGCGTGCCGGCCCATCCGTTATCCTTCCTGCTTCGCCGCCGTCTGGCTTCCCCTTCCCCCTCATCTTGTGTTGTGCTCTCCCTCTCTCTCTTCCCCGTGCTCTCTCTCTCTCTCTCTCTTTCCCTCTCTCTCTCCCCCGCTTTTGCTTTGTGCCTTTCCTGCCCCCCTCTTTCACATGCCCCTCGCTGGTATCCACATCCATCCATCCTTGCCCCGGTGCTTCCCCATCCTTTGTCCCTGGTCACCCGCAGAGTCCGCTTGTGCGGACTGGGAGTGGGCCAGAACCCCATCCGTTAGGGTACGGCACGACGCGTGCCTCCAGCAGGGCTCGCTGTGCTCCTACACCCCCCAATGGGGCACTTCATGATTCAAGCAGGAGCGATCCGAAGCTCGCTGCGGGCCGTCAGGCCCACAAAGGTGGCTGCTCGTTCAATGCCCAACCACCTGGGGACCTCCCACCCCTCAAGGAAGCGTAAAGTCTCAGAGTCCTCCTCCTCATCCTCCTCTTCGTCCAACCCCTCTGATAGAGGCCTCCTAGATGGGGTCGGAGTAGGTGGGGTCGGAGGATCGCGCAGCATCGCCGATACATCGGCGATGCATCAGCGATGCATCGGCGATGAATCGGCGATGTATCGGCGACGTGGGCGATGAATCGGCGACGTCGTCGAGAAGCAAATCGGACTCCGCATCGAGCCGCATCGGCGATCCATCGGCGATTCGGTGCAACCCTCCGGCCCCATCTACTCTGGCCCTATCTGGGAGGCGTAGACGACTTCAGCCTCGATCCTCGCGCCCCTCGGTCAGCGGCGGCGACGACAGCGGCGAGGAGGGGAGGATCCGCCAGGGTGCCCTTGAAAGCAGCGCTGTACAGAAACTTCCGCCCGCCGGGCTTCTTCGCCGTCTTCTGCATCCGGTACGTCCCCGCGCCGATCTCGTTCCAGGCGGCCTGCACAAGAGCAAGAAGGAGAAGTGGGACTGCGAGCAAGATGTGCATCCATGTCCACTGCGTCTTGAATGCTCGGCCTCCTCTCCCAGAAAACCCGAGGCGTAATGAATCCCATCAGCCCTCTGGGCGTGAGTAGTTTGGAGAGTTTCCTCTTCCAACCCCCCTCATTCCATTTTGAGGAGGGGTTTACCCCTCTCGCTACTCCCTCCCCCTGGACCTGAAGGGGTTGGAGCGTCCAAGATGTCCACGGCGAGGACGCCAAATCATTAATCGTACTAAGGTTTTGGCCGTAATTTGGCCTCAGGGGGGGGATCCTAATTGGGGAGCTCCCTGCCTTTGATCGATCTCCTCCAAGATGGCCCAAAGATGGACCCCAAGGTTCCCAAGGGTGACCCCAGATGGCCCTAAGAGGCTCCCAAAAGACCCCCAAAGAGGCTCCCAAGAGACCCCAAGAGGCCCCACCTCAGATGCACCCACGACGCCCCAAGAGGCCTCGGCGAGCCAAATCATTGACTTTACTAAGGTGTTGGTCTCCTGGGGGGGGGACCCTGATGAAGGAGCCCCCCTCCTTTACCCGATATCCTCCGAGATGGCCCCAAGATGGCCCCTGAGGCTCTCAAGGGTAGGGTGTCCGACGAGGGCCCCAAGAGGTGCCCAGGAGGTCCCGAGGGGCCCCCGAGAGGCCCCCACGAGGCCCCCAAGAAGCCCCCGAGAGGCCTCCAAGAGGGGGCAAAGAGGCCACAAGAGGCCCCCCAGGGGCACCCGTTCGGCGAGAAGACAAACATCATGGATTCTACAAAACACACGGCCACATTGGGGCATCCTGGGGAGGAGGAGGAGGAGGAGGAGGAGGAGGAGGAGGGGCCCCGAAGTAAGGAGCGCCCCTCCATTGATCGATCTCACCTACGCTGGCCCCAAGGTTGCCCCCGAGGCCTCCCAAGGTCCCCCAAGACGGCACCAAGAGGTGCCCAGGAAGCCCCCACGAGGCCCCCGGAAGTACGCCAAGAGGCCAACACGAGGCTCCCCAGAGACCAGAGGCCCCCAAGAAGCGCCCAAGACGCCCCAAAAGGCCCCTGGGACTGCCAAATGACCTCCAAGACGCCCCAAGAGGACTTCAAGAGACGCTCGAAAGAAACCGAAGAGACTCCGAGAGGCCCAAGAGGCGTTTGGCCTTTTTCTGCTCGCCCTCATCCTCCTCCTCCTCCACTTCCTCATCCAACTGTTTCTCCTCCTTCCTCGTCCCTCCCCCCTCCCCCTCTCCCTACTCCTCAACCTCCTCCTCATTGTGTTCCTCCTCCGAAGCCTCCTCCATCCTCCCCATCTTGAAGTACTACGTCTTGCCCAACCCGTTATTCCACTGCATTCGACTCCAAATCCCTGATCAGGACAACTTGTCTGGGCATCGTTTCTGGATGGGCTGGTGGGGTTACGCAAGCGTCTAGAACATGGATATAAGATGTCCTCTGGCGAGACCTGAGTTGTTGTCCATATCAACTGCGTCTCGGGCTTCTAGCATCCCTTCAGAAGAGGAGGGAAGTTGTGGGAATGTTCCCATGTGTCTCCGCGGTTCTGAAGGACGCCGTAGGTTCCCAAGCGATTCCAGAGGTCATGCGGGGGGGGGGTATTGGGTTGTCGATGGGCCTCGGGGGGTGGGTGGGTGGGGGGACGAGGAGGAGGAGGAAGAGGAGGAGGAGGCACAGCAGAAGCAGGCAGGAGGAGGCGAGAGGAGCAGGGAGGGGGGGTACTCTCACGCTTACTCCTCCTGGCTACAGATGGCATTTCTGACCCCTTTGACATAGTATGCCATACACTCCGTACAGCGCCTCCTTGGCCTGTTCTCTGGAGAAGAACGAGGAGGGGGACGACGATTTGTACTGCCAGCCGAGACCTTAGGGCCTTAGGGGGGGTCCCTGACAACGTCAAAGACTTACCGCGGCTACGACAACGATGGTGCCGAGCGCGCAGTGAGATCGACCAGGCAAGGACTGGCGCAGGCATACGCGAAAGGTTCGCACCGCGATGGTGCTTGCGTTGGCTTCCGATGCCGCGCGGACTGCCCGACCTGGAAAGACCATGCCTCTCCGACAGCGCCGACCGTTCGAAGCGGGCCGACTCCGGGCCACCGCTGGCGCTCCGCCTCGATCTGGGCGACCCCAAAAGAGGGTCCAACCCCACAAATCTATTGCACCAAATCTATTGCACCACCCCCCTGTCGCTGGACCCCCTTCTGGGTCAGCGCCCGCGCTGGGGGCGCCGCGGCGCCGACGCGGCGCGCACCTGGAACGGGTGCCGACACGGACCTCCGACGCCATCTTCCGGCGGCGAGCCTGGGCGGCAAGCGAGGAAGGGCGGGCCTTCTCCGAAGGCTCGGACGCCCCCCGAGCCTCTGAGAAGTGCTCGGAGCCTGCCCCGGAGGCACAGGAAACCTCTCGGGAGGCGCGCGAGGGGTTCCGAGAGGTCCCGCTGCCTTCAGAGAAGCGGTTCCCCTCCTCACTTCCCCCCTCGCCCGCCGCCGCATGCTTCTGTTGGCAGCGAGGGCCACCTGAGATTTGGACCACGCTCCCAGGCCTGGCTCTTTCGTCCTGAGCACATTGCTCGACGGCGCCTGGGGACTGGCTCTTTCGTCCTGAGCAATTGCTCGACGGCGCCTGGGCCCGGTGAGCGCCCCCCGCGGCCGGAATTCGCAAGAGCCTTCCGCCGCGATGTCTCCGCGACCGAGGGGCAGCGACAGGGAGGGCCCGGCTCACAGGGGGAAGTAGGACGGCCTTCGGGGCCTAAAAACAGCGTTTCGCTCGAGACATCATCGGAAAACGCTTCTTGGGCGCTTCTTGGGCCGTCGTAGGCGCCTAAGACAGCCCAAGAAGCGGCCAAGACGGCACCCAAGACGGCCCAAGACGGCCCAAGAAACGCCCAAGACGGCCTAAGAGCGCTCCAAGAGAGCCCAAGCGTCGAACTGGAATCGACGATGCGTCGCTGACAGATTGGTAGGCCCCCAGTAGCGACTCCGCCTGTTTCTGGGCGGGGTGGGGCTACCAGACCCCTGTCGGCGATGAATGGGCGATTGGGGGTCGCTGCATCCCCCTATCGTTCCCCCTGACCGACGACTGGAGGGCAGAGATAACAGGCGCCCTCCGACAACACACTGGCGTGACTGGTACGGGGAAAGGTGGCACGATGCCCAACGGCGACAGCGGCCGCTGCTGGTAAAGGCCTCCCAGATGGGGTACGAGTAGATGGGATCGGTAGATCACGCCTAATCGCCGATGCATGGGCGAGGCATTTCTCGCCGATGCATCGGCGACGCATCGGCGACGTCGGCGATGCATCGGCGACGTGAGCGTGGAAAAAGTCGGGCTCCACATCGGGCCGCATCGCCGATGCATCGGCGATACGGCGCGATCCTCCGAACCCGTCTGACTACTCCGACCCCATCGGGGAGGCCTAGAGTTAGGCAGGCGACCCCTGGTCTCTCGTGTCGACGCGGATAGCGAGCCCTGTTCAAGGGGACTGCGTCTGTTCTGTGGGAGCCTGCGTGGCTCCCAACGCTCTTCGATGTGTGCCTGATTTGAACCGGATGTGGAACACAAGTGAGACCAGAGTTGGACTGGATGTATGCCGGAGTCGCTCCTTCACAAGGAAGACGAGAAGGACGAGGAGGGGGGGGAGCAACAGGAAGGGCGGGGAGAAGCAGGCGGGCCCAAATCGTGGTCCAAGGCTCTCATGAACAGACATCGAAGATGCTTTCGGTCTTCGTCGCCACCCTGTCCGCCCCACGTCGATCCTGCATGGCAGACGGCCCCCCGTGGCCACGCCTTCTGTGGCAACGCATGGGAGCCTTCCATACATACCATCTTCTACCTGGCTCTTGCGAATCGACGCCATTCGACGCTAATCGACGCTAGTCGACGCTAATCGACGCTAAGTCGATGCTGGTCGACCCTAATCGACACTGAATAGGCGCTATCTCATCGATTACCAGACTCTGATTGGCGCCAGCGCACTCTAAAAACTAAGCGACGAGGTTATACTAGGCTCCCATGATTTGCGACCGAACAAATACATGGGGTCGGGGGCTTGCGCCGCATCACCGATACATCGGCGATGCCTCGGTGATGCCTCGAAAACGTCGGCGATGCATCGGCGACGTCGACGTACAGGAAATTTGGCTCCACAACGAGCCGCATTTGCGATGCATCGGAAGTGCGGCACCCTGTCCACTTGGACCACTTTTGAACGACAATCTCAAAACGGGTCTTGCGCGAGATGACACCGCGGCCTAACGCAGTGACTTTCGCGGGCCGCCGGCGCGGCAGGCTACACTGGAAGCGAGGGCGCTTACGCGCGACCTTGCGCGAGCAGCATACTCGCCAAAGCGGAGGAACCTGTTGTTTGCGAGGTGGGGATTTATCCATATCCACCGCCTGGGAACGACCAGGCGGGCGGTGGACACGGATATGTTTGGGCCCCCGGGAGCACGAACGGTCACATCAACAGCCACCGCCTGCGGAGGTCCGCGAAGATCGAGCCCCCAGGCGGTGGTCACGGATACGTACCCGCCTCGGACTGTCCGCGTCGCTCCCTTAGGAGGCCTGGAACGACATCCTCTGGGACGCACAGGGACATACTAATACTATATGTCCTCCTTGGAGGCGCGCGTCCGACCCGAACATCTAGTATGCCCATCTTGTAGTATATCGTTTCCCGAGCGGTGTGGCCAGAAAGCGCCCACCACGACGCATATACCTGAAGATTTCTCGGTGCGCGCGTCGCCCCTGGGGGGGGGGCCACGCACATATCCCCGTCCCACTTCGATCGTGCAGAGCAGGACGGCTGCCCGCGGCCATGCCTCCCCTCCCCACCCCTGGGGGGCCGGCAAAGGGCGCGGCCCTCCAGGCTGCTGTGCGCGCTCTCGCCCGTCGATGCTTCGAACAAAACCGCAGGAGGCATTTTGATGTCTCAATTTCGTGATCGATGTGTTTGTTTACTGGTTTAGGGCACATGTGTTTCCGTTTTCTGGTTGCCGTCTCTCCGTTGTCGGTTCGTTTTGCGAGCCGTGTTTGGTTTGTGAAATTGTGTTTAAATGCCGTTTCTTTTGTTGTGCTCTGTTTTGGGTTGCCGTGTTTGGTTTCCGGTTTCCTCTCGCGTTGGGCCCAGCGGGTGTCGTTTTTATTGTGTGTTGGGTTGCCGTTCGTGCTTCTTGCTTGGCCGACCGCAACAAAAAAACTTCACAAAAAACGCCCTCAGCGATTGTAAGAACAACTGATCCCTCGCCTCTCCCCGCCCCAAGCATCTCGAGCCAGCCCCAGACCCCCCGTCGCGGTGGGGGCGAATCACGACGGAGGGCTTCTCACGAGCAGCGAACAGATCCGTGTCCGCGCCCTCGGCGACCCCTGGTTTCGCCGACGGCTGGTTTCGCCGACGGCCGGTTTCGCCCGGCTGGTTTCGCCGCCCGGCGAAACCAGCTCCGTCGGCGGAACCAGCTCCGTCGGCGGAACCAGCTGCCGTCGGCGAAACCAGCTGCCGTCGGCGAAACCAGCAACCGCCGGCGAAACTGCCCGACCCGACCCGCCCGCTAGGGTCCGCCCGCCCGACCCGCCCCACCCGTTAGGGTTCGCGCGTGCTCGGTCGAGCGCGCCCCACACATGAATGTCCCGCCCGCCCGACCCGACCCGCCCGTCTGGGTCCGCCCGCCTGACCCGACCCGACCCGCTCAACATAGGGTCCGCCTGGCCCAGCAAGACCCGCCCGTTCGGGCTTCGCGTGCTCGGTGGAGCGCACCCCACATTTTGATGTCCCGCCAGCCCGACCCGACCCGCCCGTTAGGGTCCGCCCGCCCGACCCGACCCGTCCCGCCCGCAGGGGTCCGCCCGACCCGACCCGCCCGTTAGGGAACCAGCGGGACGAAACCAGCGCCGGCGAAACCAGCGCCGGCGAAACCAGCCGTCGGCGAAACCAGTGGGGCGAAACCAGCATCGGCGAAGCCAGCGCCGGCGAAACCAGCTCATGTCGCGCCGTCGCGGTCTGGATTCCGTGGCGCGATCCCCCGGATACGCGGACGCACAGATAGGTTCCGCGCGGGACATCCGCGAAGAAATGCTTCGTATCCGCAGGGTCGCGGCCGCGTGGCCGCGGATACGGATGTGTGTTCGCCCACGAGTGGCAATCTTCGGCCTCCAGGGGGCCGTACTCTGCAAGACGAGCCCAGAGCCACGGTCAACACCGGGCCAGGGTTAAGGCGGGGACCTCTGAGATCCAGCCAGCGGTTCTGGAAGATGTATCGGGCGCCGCGGCCGTTCCAGAGCGCTCCGGAAAGCTCTGGGGAACGCTCTGAAAGCGTCCCTGAACGCTCTGGAACAAATTATCCCGGCCCAGGGCCCGCCCGATGCTGGCCCCCGGTACCCGCAACAGAAATCCCCAGGAACAAAGAATCGGTCGCGGGGAAGGCGACGAGAACTCTGGCCTGCCACCGCTCGGTGGCCATTTCCCGATGATGCACCCGCTGCGTGTCTTGCGTTGCCTGATGATCCGGGATGCTCCTCGATGGTCCCCGCCGAACAAACTGCATGCGTCCGAACGATGCCAAGCTGAAGGTCAGTCACTCCTCGAGCCAAACTTGGCACGGGGTCCCCTGCCGAAGCCAATTTTTCTGGGGCCGCACAACACGCGCGAGAAAACACAAGAGGGTGCAACAACCCAGGCCTCCGACGTCCCGATTTGTGAAGCACGCGAGGCCCAGAGACCTCGACCCCCTGCCCAGAGCCCACTTTGCCGTACTAGACCGATCTGCTGAGGACTTTGGGCCCTGTTACATCTTCGGGGGACCCTCTCTGTCCCGTCGCGCCCCTATCCGCGTCGAATCCTTGCCGAATCCATGTCGGAATCGCCGAATCCTCGTCGAACCCATGTCGAATCCGCATAGGACCCTCGCCCAACCCACGTCGAGCCCGCATCGAGCCCGCGTCGGGCTCAAGAGAAGAGGCCAATGTTGAGGAGAGACGAGGTCCCCCGAGGATGCCTGGCCATCGCTCGGACGTCCACTCCCTGTGTTTTTGTTCGGTTTCGTGCGTGGCTTTTTCGCCAAGTGATCGAGGATGCTCCTCGATGATCCTCGCCGAGGAGAAAGAACGCCCACGTCCGAGCGATGCCAGGATGCAACGTACCAGGGGGCCGCAAGCCAGCCACGGAGACCGACCGCCGCGAGGAACTTCGGAGGCCCGGGCACGAGCGGCCCGCCGCATGCGCAGGCCCGACCGCGCGGGCCTCCCGGCAGACTCCGCCAAGGAGCACGAAGCGCCCTCGGCCGAGCTCGCGGCGGACCCCGAGGCAGGCCACTCTTGGAAGGAATCGATCGGGCACAGCGGCTCCGAGAGGCCCAAACGCTGCAGCAGAAGAACCGGACTGAACATCAACTGTCGGAGCTCCGAGCGGAGCTCTTGCACCTGCGCTGAAGCCCGCTCCCTTCCCCGCGCGGCGCGGCGCCAGAGGCGCCGCCAGAGGGGCGCAGCGCCGATCCGAGAAATCCGCGCGGACTCCGAATGATTATGTTTACGCCGGCTCCCAGACGTGCGAGGTCCTGATTTGGTCAATACGCTGCCCCTGGAAATCCCGACCCATTCTCTGGGCCTGTGTTTGTTCATCCTGGCTCGTTTCGTCCACGGTCCCAGAACGCCTCCGGGTGTCGAAAACGGTGAAGAGCCTCCGTCCTGTTGGATTCGCGACATTGCATGTCTGGGCTTTCCTTCTTTCGAGGCCTCCTCGATGAGGTCGGCGTAGATGGGGTCGGAGGATCGCGCCGCATCGCCGATACATCGCCGATGCATCGGCGATGTATCGGCGATGCATCGGCGATGCATCGGCGATGCACCGGCGATCCATCGTCGACGTGGGCGGTGCATCGGCAGCGTCGGCACGGCGAAACGCGGGCTCCACATCGGGCCCCATCGTCGATGCATCGGCGACGCGGAGCGATCCACCGACCCCATCTACTCCGACCCCATGTAGGAGGCCCAGATTATTCGGCAGAAGTGGAGCCACAAAATTGAAACCGAAAATCTACGCGCGCAGCGATGCCCCGGGCATGCCGCGCGGCTCGGAAGCATCCAGGCGGCGGGCGCCCTAGTGCACAGTCGAGGCGTTGACCTAAGGAACCCTAAATAAGGAACGAGGCCCCTTTCTCCTATAAGTTAAACTTCGATTTCCCATGGCAAACCTCAGGAGAACCGAAGGTACACTGCAGAACAAGCAAGGAACACCGAGCCCCTCCCCAACGACAAGGGTTCCTTCTTCAGGGCCCCGACTGTATACCCTCGAGCTCGGCAGCTGGAGAGGCTGGCTGCGGGCCTCGGGACACGCCTGCAGAACAGGGCCAGACGGGAGACCGGCCCAACCCCTGAGAGGGAAACGAGGCGTGACCACGAAAAACCACATCCCCAATCCCAAAATCGCGGATTCGCTGGGGATTCGAAGATCGGCCAAAGATTTCGGGGTATGTTTTGGGTTCGTCGTCGTCACCCTGGTAAAACCCTACCCCAAAATCTCCCTCCCCGAAGTCTCGAGGTATCTGCGTTTTGTTTTAGCCCCCGCGTTTTGGGACTGGGCGTCTGTTTTGAGTTAGTGAAGGCGAAAAAGATCAGTGTCCGCGCCCTCGCGATCTGCTGGATTCTGAGGCGCGCAGTCCCGCGGGTGCGCGGTCGTTCGGGCACGTTCCGCACGGGACATCCGCGAAGGATCGCCTCGTATCCGCGGTGTCGCGGCCCAAGGGCTCGGCCCGCGAGACAACGGATACGGACATGTGTTCCGCCTTCACGCTAGAAGGAAACAACTCACGGGGGATAACATCGAGCTGGTATCGGCGATACACCGCCAATAGATCGGCGATATTCCTAGGCGCGATGGGCTTCCGGGCCCCTGTCAGCGATAAATGGGCAACTGCGGGTCGATGTCCTCCCCTAGATAAGCGTACCCCACCTAGAATTGCCTTCGAGGTAAGGGACCGAGAGCGAGAGGGCCCGGGGCCGTCTGTGGCAACTCACGGGAGCCATGCCATCTTGCTGACCATTGGCAATCGCCTCTCATCGACGCAAGATCGACGCTGATCGGCGCTAAATCCGCGCTGTCTCGCAGATGACCAGACGCCAGCGCACGCTGATGCACTCTGAAAACGGACTTGCGAGCACACACAACTCGCCATTACTCGGACGTCCATTCCGTGCTTTTGTTCGGTTTCGTGCGTGGTTCTTTCGCCAAATGATCGAGGATACTCCTCGATGGTCCTCGCCGAAGGAAAAATGCGCACGTCCGAGCGATGCCAAGACAAGGCCGCCACGATTTGCGACCGAAGAGGCCCAGGTCTCGCAACGGTCGAGCCGCCAGGTGCCCCGGAGCATGCGTGGCCCACGCCTTAGCTGCCCGGCCGGGCATCCTAAGGTACTCCAGATTTCGTAATAAAAGGGAGGGGGGTCTCATTTCGGGGGGGGTCTCTTCCAGGCTATCTTGGAGGGCCTGGGGGGGTCTGGGGACGATGTTTTGGAGGGTTCTCCCACGGGGGGGGGTCTGAAATGGCTTGTCTTGGAGGGTCCAGACCCCCTCCCTTTTATTACGAAATCTGGAGTAGAGGCCTCCCAGATGGGGACGGCGAAGACGGGGTCGGAGGATCGCGCGAGCAGGAGAGAGCGCAACCATCGACAGTCCACCCAGCGTCGGAGTGAAGCGCGGAGGAATCCGCCGGCCCTCTTGTCGGGCCATCAGGCTGCGAGGCTCAGGTTTCAGTACCCAGCACCAGTTCCAGTTTCCAGTCTCCAATGTTCAAGGGGCCCAAGGACACACAAATTAATACACACACAAATGACAGGATCCCCCATATTCTCGTATATCCATATTTTCTGGGGAATCGACGATCAATTGTGTCTGTGTTTTTTCCCTCCTGAAATGTTACAGTCCTGCTTTCTGCTTCCTACTGTAAACTGTTGAAGTACGCGCGAGGGCGGGGGCCCAAAAGCGTCCGGCTACCACCCCCGAATCGCGTTGTCTGAATTCCTGCGGGGCCGTGGGACATGTAAAATTACATGAGGCTCGCGCTCCCTGGCGCAATAATCCTTTGCCTTTGCACATTACCTTGTATTCGCGCCCCCGATGCCACGATCCCTCGAAAATTGCACCGCACTCGCGTCCCCGAAGCCACGATCCCTTGCAAAAGATACCATACTCGCGCTTCCGAGGAAACGATCTTCCGCAAAATGAACCTACATTTGCGCCTCTGGAGCCACGATACTGCGCAAATTACGCCACATTCGCGCTCCCGACGCCAAGATCTCTTGTAAATTACGCCGCGCTCGCGTCCCCGAGGCCACGATCATATGCGAATTGCACCACATTCGCGTCCCCGAAGCCCCGATCCGTAATACAATATACAACTTTCGCTCCCCGGAAGCACCGATCTCCCGTAAACTGTACTACATCCGCGCCTCTGGGGCCACGATCCATCCTAAATTTCGCCACAATTGCGCCCCCGAGGCAATGATCCCGCGTAAATTACTCAATGTTCGCGTCACCAAGGCAAGCAACACTCGCAAATTATATACAATGTTCGCGTCTCCGAGGCAACAAACCCTTTGAAATTAGACTATCTTCGCTCACCGAGGCAATCAACCTAAACTTCGCAAAGAATGCAAAGCTTGTGCTTTCGAGGCAAAGAATCCGAATAAATTACTGAAGTGCTGGAGGCGACAAACCCTCGCACATTGAAAGATTCGCGTCCCAGAAACCAAAATCTGTTTTGCAAGTTATGCAATATCCGCGTCCCCGACGCCACAAACCATCGCTCAATAGTCGCGTCCCCGAAGCCAGAACCCTTCGTATATTACACAACAGTCGCGCGCCCCCGAGGCCACAAACCCTTGCAAATTGTTCAAGTATTGCATCCCCGAGGCAACAAACCTCAGTAAATTATAAAATAGACGCGTCTACGTGGCCATCAACCTTCGCAAATTCGGCCGTGTTCGTATTGCCGAGGCCAAGAATGCTCCAAGGCGCTCGAAGATGATTCCAAGACGGCCCAAGAGGGCCCCAAGTGGCCCCAAATGCGCTCCATGAGGCCTCCCGAGAAGGCCCCAAGAGGCCAACATCGTCGATGTTACAAAGCATTGTTGAAGGAGTTTGGGGTTCTCGCATTTCCGGCTTCCCGACGCTCAAGGGTGGCTCAAGAAGCTCCCGAGACAGCCCCAAGACAGCCCAAGATGAGCGTGAGGGTACCTCGGGAAGCCTCATCCCGGGTACCCCACGCTGCGAACCTCCGCGCCCGCGAGCCGCGGCCCCTGACAATGGGCTGGCCGGAGCAATGCGGGACAAGCGAGAGCGAGCAGGGCGTGCCCGCTCCCTGCCGCCTTCGTCGATGCATCGGCCGTGCACCGGCGACGTCGGCGAAAGATCCGCGACGTCGGCGCGGAGAACATCGGACCCCACACCGAGCAGAATCGCAGGTGCGTGCGGCGACGCGGCGCGATCCCCAGCCCCATCTACTCCGACCCCATCTGAGCGAAGATCAAACACGGGTCTTACGCGGGACGACGTGGCGACCTTACGCTTGTGGCTCAGGCGGGCCGCCCGCACGGCACGCCACACTTAAGGCGAGGGCGCTTACGCGCGACCTTACGCGGGCAGCCTACGCGCCAACGTCGGCGCACACGACCCCGTTTCTCTGCGTCGCTCATTTGGGAGGCCTGAATTCTGGCTGCCAGGTGCGGCAGCGGGACGACTTAGAAGAAGAACAAATACCAGAAACATACACTTTTGGCGCTCCACGCGGCTTTCCTGGATCTGCATCAGCGCGCGGAGCGCGCCAGGGGCGACGCCGGAGGCGCCGCCCGGGGGCCCCAGCGCGGATCCAAGAAATCCGTGCGGAGACCCCAAAAAATTATGTTGTGGCGTTGACTCTTCTTCGATGGGCTCCGGCCGCAGAGGCGGCGGCGGGACGACTAACGGGCCCAGTTCACGAGGGCGTCGAGCCGGAAGATGTTGAAGTCCCGGTCGAACTCGTAGATCTCGCCGCTCCCGCCGCAGGGCCCCCGGCCGCCGCGCTCGGACGGGTAGTCCCAGGTGATGCTCGGAGGAGGGCCCGCCGAGACCACGGCGCCTCCTCCTCCTCCTCCTCCTCCTCCTCCTCCTCCTCCTCCTCCTCCTCCTCCTCCTCCTCCTCCTCCTCCCCCGCCAGGCCCAGCCTCCCGGAGCTCATCCTGAGCGGTTTGCCGAGGCGGATCGAGCCGCGGCGACGAGAGGCCGCCGGGACCTCCAAAGAGGAAGAGGAAAAACGCCATGGCAGGGCCGCCCGTTGTTTCGACGGGCCGCCCTCCGAGATGTAGACCATCCTGGCCTCCTCGTCTATCCGGTCGAGCTGCACCTCGTCTGGCAGCAGTGCGCAAGACAGCGACCCTGCGTAGAGCAGCAGCTCGGCTGCGCCGGACCGGCCAGAGAAGAACCGTCTCTTGGAGGCACGGATATGGGCACCAACACCAACACAGAGAAGGCTGCCTCCACCGGGGAAGGATGACCCTAGACTCTGTTGCTGGTGGTAATCACTCGGCCACCTAGGAAGCCCGGATCTTACCGCCATCGCCGAGATCGGCGACCCTCTTCCCTCGGTGGAGGCACACCGCCGATATTGGTGATGGTGCCAACCTCTAGGCCTCCGAGTCTCTCCCTCGTGGCGTCGTTCCAGAAAGTCACGCGGACGTCCTCCGCGAAGAGCTCCTTCAGGGCCACGGCCTCGGACGCGTTCTTCCTCCACACGTGCAACATCGACTCGAAGCGGCCGAACGCCTCCCGCGTGGCGTTCGGCCGCGGCCTCCGCCAGTCGATGAAGGCGATGAGGCGCGAGATCTTGCCGTCCTCGTCAAAGAAAACCTGCTCCTGACGCAGAGGGCACCGCGTGCACAACAACGGCGCCCCGCCAAAGACAAGTCTGGACCCTGGCACGATATCTGCGCCCTCCTGGACAAGGCCAGGAGGGCATTGTTAGCTCAACCCGACTTCGCGCATCGCGCTCCACGATGCGCGACGCGCACTTGTCTTCGCGCACCAGGCTCCACCCCCTTGTAGGGGAGACGCAACACTCGGGTTCGGGGAACCCGGGTTGGCCTGACGGGGTCATCAAGAAAATGACGAGAAACACTCTGAAATTTAAGATGGGCTCCCGCTGCAAACATCCCACGACAATTGGACCGTCAAACTCCAGGGCGGGCTCGTCAAAAAGCGTAGGCGAACCCGAGTTCTGGCGTACTCGGGTCTTCCGTTTCCCCGACCTTGGAGAAGGGAAGGATCTTTGTTTCGGGCGTTGACGGGACTGGGTCTAGTGTGACCTGGTTTAGTGACGTGTACCGGGGGGCGCCCCCCCCGCCGCATTCCACCAACCGGACCTGCTGTCGCACGGAGGAAACCAGCTACGGCAGACCTGGTATAGCGACTCCAGTCCATGTTGGGGGCTTCGGGGTCCAGTCACTAACTGGCTCCCCGTAAACGAGTTCCTGGCTACTCCAGATTTCGTAATAAAAGGGAGGGGGTCTCAACCCTCCCAGACGAGAAGTTTGAGAGCCCCCCCCGTGGGAGAACCCTCCAAAACACCGTCCCCAGACCCCCCCAGGTCCCCCAAGATAGCCTGGAAGAGACCCCCCCCCGAAATGAGACCCCCCTCCCTTTATTACGAAATCTGGAGTATACCCGACTGCTGAGCTCTGGCACTCTCTGGCCGAGAGCGAGCTCCTGGCTATACCTCGGCATCGCTCAGACGTCCATTCCCTGCGTTTTTTTCGGTTTCGTGCGTGTTTTTTTCGGCAAATGGTCGAGGATGCTCCTCGATGGTACTCGCCGAAGAAAAAAACGCACACGTCCGAGCGAAGCCAAGATACCCGACTGCTGAGCTCTGGCACTCTCTGGCCGAGAGCGAGCCGCGCGGAGCGCCAGCACCTTTTCGCGCCCCCGCGGGGCGACCCGGGGGCACGGCGCCTCTGCGCCCTCCCGGCCGAGGCCAGGAGGGCCCTATACACCGCCCCGGGGGCCCCGGGTGGCCCTGGCCCGACGCGGTGCTGAATGCACTAAGCTCGCCGTCGCTCGGACGTCTAGTCCCCGTACGGCAGGTCCGTGTCGTGCCGACTTCGGCGTTGGTTTTTGACACCGCAGGGATCGTTCAACCTTGAACGATCGGCCGCTGCCGCAACGTCCGATCGTTCAACATCGATCGATTCTGGGTCGCCGGCGGCGTTCAACCTTGAACGCCCGCGCTGGGGTCGCCGCTGGTCGACACGACGCAAACCTACCGTACATCTGTCGGTTTCGCGAGCGCGTTCTTTGCTAGATGATCCAATCTGCTCCTCGACAGTCCTGGCTCAAAGAACTGCGCACGCCCAAGCGACGCCAAGTAATTGGGTGCCGCCCCAGCCCCGCTGGGAACCGTGCCTTTTGGCGCAACGCCGGCCCCTGGAGATCTCGCCCCTTTCCCCGGGCACGGTTTTATCCGTCTTTTGGACGTCCCCAGAGCCAGGCGGACTTCGCCTGGGTCCGTGCGGACACTGCGGGGAGACCAACAGGCAACGATGCCGCTGCTCCTCGGAGTTCTCTCCTGGGGTGCGCTCTGAGCAAAATTTGGAGGCGAATCCAGCCGGAGCGGCGAGAGCACCCCAGGAGGCCCACGGAAGCGAAAACGAGAGAGGGTGTGGCCCTGGCAGTATCGCAACCTCCTCCTCCTCCTCCTCCTCCTCCTCCTCCTCCTCCTCCTCCTCCTCCTCCTCCTCCTCCTCTTCCGCCTCCTCTTCCTCCGCCGAGTTCGAGCTGAGGCTCCGTGCTGGGGCCGCAGAAGTTGGCCACCCACCCCGAGTAGCGCCACGAGACGGACACGGTGCGCAGCTCCCGGTCCGCCTGCCTGGCGGTGACGTTGCGGGGCATCGACGCGCAGCCAAACTGCGCCGAGCGCTCCAGCAGCCGGGCCCCCGCCCCGCGGCCCCTCCACGTGTCGTGGCTGCCGTCCGCCGCGTTGTGGAGGTCGACGGTCGGCGATCCAGACCCCCCCGCGCCGCGAGGAGGGCACGGCGGGCGTGCTTTTTTCCTGCGGAGGGGGGGCCCTTTTTCCGGGCCCCTCCCCGGGGACCGTCCAGAGACGGCTCGGGAGAGGAATTTGGGTGACCCAAGAGGGGGTCCAGCTAAAAGGAGGTGGTGCAATAGGTTTGGGGGCAGTCATATTGCGAATGCATTGCGCCGGAGAATTGTGTTGCATCGTATTGGAAGTAGTGCAATGCACGCAGACATCCAGCAACACATTTGCGCCCTGGAATGTGTATTGCACGCCCCAGATGCACTGCAACCCCACAGGTCTGTTGCACCAAATCTGCTTGCACCACCCCCTGGTCGCTGGACCCCTGTTCGGGTCAACCCGACGGAAAAGCCCGTCCTGGGGGAGGGGCCGGGGCCCCTGGAGGGTGGGCGCCGCGGAGAAGGCAGGGCGCGGGGGTCTGGGCACACGCAAGCAGTGGCCCTGGGCGAGAGCGGCCCGCGGTGTGCGCGGCGTCGGGTCGCCCCCCCCCCCGGGAGGGGGGGGGGGGGGGGCCGAGCCCAGGCGCGAATAGGGGGCCAGATGCGAACCCCACCCCGACCCCCCACGATTTCTGAGGGGGAAGGGTGGGGTTCACTTCGTTCGGGAGCCCCCGAACGAAGCGAACCCCACCCCTCCCCCTCAGAAATCGTGGGGGGTCGGGGTAGGGTTAGGTCGGGCGTGTCCCCCTACAGGGGGATGTTGGACGAAGAATTGAAAAAATACCTCAAAAATACCGCCAAAATATTCAAAATTGACAACAAAAACCTCAAAATACCCCCCGAACGAAGCGAACCCCCACCCTCCCCCTCAGAAAACGTGGGGGGCAGGGGCAGGGCTCGCATCTGGCCCCCTTGCGAAGGCCAGCGCGCGGGAGGCCCTCGCGCGGCCCCGCGCCATCGCTCGGATGTCCACTTCCTGTGTTTTTTTTCGGTGTCGTGCGTGGCTTCTTCGCCAAATGATCGAGGATGCTCCTCGATGGTCCTCGCCGGAGGAAAAATGCGCACGTCCGAGCGATGCCAGGGGCCCCGCGCCGGGCCCCGAGAGCCTGCGGCGCGCCTCTGCCTCGCTTCCGCTCCGGGCGCCTAGGGGCGCCCTGGCTCCCCGGGCCCCCCCGCGGGGCCCTCGCGGATCGCGATGCGGCTCGAAGCGAGGCGCAGGCGGGGCCCCGTACTGGGCGGTGGGAAGCCTCCCTACAGGGCAGTTGCTTAATGCATAGGATTTGTGTTGAAAGACATTGGATGTTTGCTACATGCTTAATATATGAATAAAGTGATGCATGAACTCATCGTTGTTCTTGATACCAAATCCCTGCATGTTTGATACATGATCCGCACGCGGAGCATGTATGAAAAACGGCACTATTGTAAACCTCCCCTTGGTGAAAGAGGCCTGGGGCCGAAACCGACGGACCTGCAAAAAGGACGGCCGCGGCGCCCTGCCGCGGACCGAAAACGGCCAATTCCTGAATCGGCGTGTCAGGGTAGGAGGTCTGTCCAGCCCCAATGTACAGGGTTCCGGGCGCGCTGCTGCACGATGCCGCAGTGTTGCTTGCCACGTCGGATCTCGGGGAGGGCCCCTCTCTGGCGCAGGGCCACTCTTGCGCGCAGCCGAGGAGGATCGGGGGAGGGGGGCCCCGTCGCGTCCGCGGCGGCCTGGGCTCCGGATCGTGGGCCTCCTGCAGAGGCCTCTCGCCGCGACGGCCAGGTCGGCCTCGACAGCAGGCGGGTCGGGGATGGGCCCCAGGAGGGGTCGGACTGCCTACCAGACCGCCCCAATGCAACCCCAAGACCCGAACTTCGGATTGGGGGTGGTACGGGTTCCATCTGTGCTCTTCCCTGCATTCCCCGACGCCCCCCCCCACCCCCCACTGGGAATGGAGGGCTTGTTGAAGGCATTCGGGTCGGGTTGGGGTGGTCTGGTGGGTGGCGAGGGTCCGGTGCCCGACGCCGAGCGGGACTGGCCCGGGCGGGGAAGCCGCGGAAGTCTCAGGTGGCCCTCCCCCGAGATGACCGCGCGGTCGGAGAAGGACCGCGGGACGCCCTCGGCCCCCAGGTCCCGCAGCGCCAGCTCCAGCTCCTCCAGCCTCTGCTCCTGGGGGGGACAACGAAAGTGCGGATGGCGATCACTACTCCTCGAGCCTCTCCCGTGGTGCTTTCTGACCCGGATTTTTAAGCGAATCCCAGGAGACCCCGAGAGACGCAAACGACGGAGCTCAGCGGTACTCATACCACTTCCTGCTCGGATTTGGACGCCCGAAGTGGGTACGGAAAAAATGTGTTGGATGCCCAACGACAAACGTTATTTAAAACACGCGGAAGGTCGCTGATGGGCAGACGGACGTCTGTCTCAAATGGACGGAAGCCCGCGGCGGCGCCGACAGCGAGCCCTTCAAAGTTGGCATGAACTGCTGTCCGTCTCCGACCCCATGCTTAGAGGAATAAAACGCCATCAACAGAAACTTTCGGAGCTCCGAACAGATTTCTTGCATCTGCGCTGATCCCCCCTCTCTGGCGCGCGGAGAGCGCCAGGGACGGCGCCGGAGGCGCCGCAAGGGAGCTCTGGCGTGGATCCAACAAATCTGCACGCACCTCCGAAAATGTATGTTTTTCATGTTTTCCTTCGTCGAATGACTTCTGTCATGCGGTGCCTGGATTTTGTCAGTGCGGGGCCCCTGGAAGGCCCATCCCCTTCCCAAAGGGCACGCTCTTCACCCCAAGTCGTTTTCGACGGTTCCGGGACCCGGCGACGGTTGAAAACTGCCAAGAGCCTCCCGTGCTGATTGTTTGGCTCGGTATGAAGTCCTTTCCGTACCAATGTCGATCGTACCGATCTGAGCTCCTCCTTTCGCACCAGCCGCCCAGCATCACCAGTGCATCGGCGAGGCATCGTCGACGTTGGCGATGCATCGGCTACGTCGACGTGAAGCAAGACGGGGTCCACGTGGAGCCGCACCGCCGACGTAACGGCGATGCAGGGCGATCCTTCGACTCCATCTACACGGACCCCACCTGGAAGGCCTAGAACCCAAAGATCAGATGTGCTGATCCGCTGAAGCCCCGACCACTTCCCCAGGACAACTGTTTTTTATTGATCCTGATTTTGTTTGACGATCCCAAGGCCCTGCGAAGGCCCCCAGGGCCCGAAAACGACGGAAAACCTCCGCACTGAATGTTCCCACACGCTGAGGAGGTCTGGACACCTCGATCGCGCCGATGCAGGAGAGCCCCTAAATAATGCACCACCGCCAGCCCTGGCCAGGCCCATCCTGGGCCCTGGACTGGTGCACAGGCCCCCCTGACCCAGAGCCACCCTGGCATACATGAAGGTGCCCTGGGACACACAAATAAATACACACAAATAAACATATTCCCCATATTTTCCCATATGTCCTGGGTTTTTGTCTTCCCCCCCACTTCCCATATTTTCCCATATTTTCTGGGGAATCGCCGATGAATTGTGTCTTCGTGTGTTTCCCCCTCCTGAATACAGGCCCCTCCTGGGCCCTGGCCAGGCCCACCCTGGCCCCTGGACTGGTGCTTTAGGCCTGGGCCTGGAGGTCTACACGCCAGTCCAGGGCCCAGGATGCATCTGGCCAGGGCCAGGAGTGCTGCATGATTGGTGCCCCTCCTGACGACCTACCAGACCACCCCAAACCCAACCCGAAGACCCGAACTTGACCCCCGAATTTCGGGTTGGGGGGGGGGGGTACGGGTTCCGTGTGTTTGTTTTTTCAGCGTGCCACGACCCCCCCCCCCCAAACTGGAAGTGAAGGGCAAATTGAGGCCTTCGGTTTGGGTTGGGGTTGGCAAATTGAAGCCTTTGGGGTGCCCCTCCGACGCCGCCGAGCTCCTCGCCCCGCACCAGGCGCCCAAAGTACCGCTGCGGCTCCAGCCACGCCAGCAGCCCCGCCGCCCCCGCCCCGGCGGGCACGCGCGGGCCCCCCCGCGGCGCCGGGGGCGAGGCCCCCCCGGCCCTCCGAGGCCGCGCCCGCTGTCGGGGCCGGCGGGGCGCCCTCTCCGAGAAGGTGGGACCTGGACGCCCGAAGGACGGCGAAGGCGCCCAGCCCGAACCGAATCAGACGCCAGGATCTCAGGGCTTGGCCAGGGGCACTTCCAGCAACACCAGGCAGAGGGGACGACCGACGACGAAGCGGCGACCCCTCGCGTTCGGTCGGGCCTGTCCCCCTACATTTGGACGCCCGAAATGGGTACGGAAAAGATGGGCACAATGCCCAACAGCAAATGCTGTCCCGAACCAGCAGCGGCCGCCGTTGGGCAGGCGTCCTTCTGTCTCGAATCAACAAAGGCCGCGGCGGCGTGGACAGCGAGTCCTGCTCAAAAGGAACGAGATCCGCTGTTGGGCAGTGTACCCATTCTTTCCGTGCCCACTTCGTTCGTGCAGATTGGAGGGGGGCGTCTCCCATCGCTGAGGCCCAAGAGTGTCCCCCTGCGGCAGATGCCCCCGCTCGTGGTGCTCTTTCCTCTGCGCTGCGGACGCCCCGGGCGCACGCGATGATGTCACACGAAGAGGCCCGGGGTCCCGGAGCTCGGCCCCAGCGAAAGCGGGCGGGCACACGGCGCAGGCAGTCGGAAGCAGGGCCTCTTCCAGCCTCCCGCCTCCTCCCTCCCTCCCTCCCTCCCTCCCTCCTCCTCCCCCCTCCCTCCCTCCCTCCCTCCCTCCCTCCCTCCCTCCTCCTCCTCCTCCTCCTCCTCCTCCTCCTCCTCCTCCTCCTCCTCCTCCTCCTCCTCCTCCTCCTCCTCCTCCTCCTCCTCCTCCTCCTCCTCCTCCTCCTCCTCCTCCTCCTCCTCCTCCTCCTCCTCCTCCTCCT